TTCTAGGTGAGGTCTCACCAAGGAATTGTATAATCTTAGCATTACCTCCCTTGACTTAAACTCCACACACCTGGAGATATACCCCAACATCCTATTGGCCTTTTTTATTGCTTCCCTGCACTGGCGAGAATGAGACATGGAAGCATCAACATACACACTTCCTTTTACTTCACTGCGAAATTAAGAAGCCAAAGCTGTTCAAAGACAACCAGCAAAGCACACAGTGCCCTCTTGTGGGGGTGGGGGTCAGGGGTCGGAGGCCCCCTGGTTCAAGGGGATTAAAAGGTCATAGGTCAAAGGAAGATCATCCGGACTGTTTATTTGCAGAGATCCCATAGATCCTCCGTGTTTAAGCTCCTCGAGACGGCAAAGCCTCGCATCTCAACGCGAACAATGCAGACACAAGAAACTGTGCAAGGGCTCCAACGACACTTAATAATGGGATGTGACATCTGCAAGCAGGAGACCTCAGCACCAGCATCTGTGTGCTTCTTAAAGGCTATGAGCTTGTTATGTCCAGTCAAGTACCGACTTTTCTTTTCAAAAGCTAACTGGCTTTTTCCGGAGTCTGCTAACGAGACCCGCCCGTCAAACAGAGACCTGACGTTGGGACGCCCCTAGAATCCGTTTGATCTGTTTGATCTGTATTGTGATTTAGGAATATTGCTCAGATTGTATCTCTATCTCTCTGTCTCCCTCTCTCTCTCTTTTGTGACCGGGGTGTAACTCAGAAGCAGCTCCAGGGAGGGACGGGATTTTCCTGCCGCCACCGACACGCTCCTGACGCGCTCCGCCGCACGCGGACGTCAGCGGCTCCCCGAACACCAGCATTAATCATCACAATGTAAATTACACTGACCGCTGACCAAAACACAGGGGATGCGAGGGATAAATATGCAGCTTCAGGCCTCTCGCCTCGTGGAGTCTCATGCAGGGGAGACCATGTGATTTGGGAGAAACAGCTTACTGAGAAGTCTGTTGGAAAATCAGGAGCAGCCCATGATGTAATGTTTAGTTGGGAAGTTTTAATTAAATTAATAGGAAAATGTAATAATTCTACTGTCGGATTGCATTCGCAATCACTGATGGCCTTTCCCGCTCTGTCTGTAAAATGGTCCTGCAAGGGCTCGGTGATTACACAATGCTTACACGTTAAGGGCAATTTAGAGATGGGGGGGGGCAATAGTACTTCCCATTAAGCCAACGTGTTCCCTCCTCCCTAGGTTTGGATAGTGTGTCTAATAAAAATAATGACTTCAATTAAGCGATTAAGCCGTACAGCCAAGGAGGACAAAAGCCAGAATAGCCTGCAGAGTGTGAAGGGTTCTGGTGTTACGAGAGCATGCAGAATGGAGGTTGGTTGCCGAAGGGGGTGGGAGGGAATGGTACCTGTCCCCACTCTCCAGGGATCCAGCGGGGGGGCGGGCAGCGGCCCAGGCTGCAGCGGATGCGCACCGGGGGCTTGTTGTGGTCGGGGCAGTGGGCGGGGGGGAAGGTTTTGGCCAGATCGCTGCTCTTGCAAAGGACAATACGGTGCTTGAAGCCAGGGCCGCACTTGGGGGTGCACTAGGATTGGAGGGGGGGGAGAACAACTCATCAGATGACAGGGTGACAACATCGTACTACGCATCCCTTAACAGACTTAACAGAAGGTGGGAAATTTCTGGAAACTGCAGCAATACCTCTGACCAGTCCAGGGTGACCCACTGTGGGGGACATGACTGGTTATTGCAAGACTCTCTCTCAATGGGTCGATGGGTCAGACAGTGACTGTCCTCCAGTGTCTCCTCCTCAGCAAGCCGGATGCGGCGTATGCACAGGACCGTCCGTGCCCGGCTGCCCCCGTCGCATGTCTTGCTGCATTCAGACCAGTCACCGATGAACCACCTGGAACCAAAACAGGATGGTAAAACACCAGTGTCTGTGGTGTCAGGAGAGTCCGGAAGACGCGGTTCATTGTGGCCTTCATCATGGAAGGTGGGCCTGCACACTCACTCAGGGGGGCAGGGCTCTGTGTTGCAGTCCCTCTGGTTCTCCGGCGGCTTGCTCTCTGGGTCGCAGTAACTGTTCTGCACAACAGAACTGTCGTCCACCCTTTTGCACACTACTTCCTGCTTCTGGAAACCTATTGGATCGAGACAGACACGTCATGTTGCCTGTGTCACAGATATGCCGTCAGCCGGTCCACTTATCAGCCCCCCCGGATGTCGAGGAAACCCCCTTTATGCCTCACTGGGGCTCCCCCCGTGCTAAAAAGTCAGGCAGCAAGGATGCGGGTCTATCCATTTAGCTAGTGTGATGGGGAGCTAGACACAGTAACCAACACAAAGAATCTTGCTCAGAAAACCACTTCAGCAACACATCCAGATAAATACTTCACACCTCTGCTCAGGCAACTCTACAACAGTCCATATTATCTGGGTGAACATTAATGAGGGAATCATCTAAGGAGAGAGACCGTAAGTACTCATTTCAAAATGGAGGGTGGTAAGGGTAATAGATTTAGCGTAGCCACCAGGGGGTTGGGTATCTGCCAAGGGTTTAAGGTCACTATGTTAGGAAATGCTGCCCTGGTTAAGGTCACACACATGCTGACCCTGACACTCGCTCATGAGCCAGGCAGACTGTGAGACCCTCGTTTCCCCCATCCATGCAGCCTGGGCACTAGTATGCTATCCAAAGACTGCCCAAAGAGTCTTGAGGTGCCAGGATGTTAACCACTTCAGGACGGAGAGGATAAAAGAGAGGCTACAAGAGAGGCTATCCTTGATATGAATGATATGTTTTCAATTGGTGAGTGACAGGGGAGGGGGGAGGGGGGGCACTCCAGGGGCCAATCAGCTGGAGCCAGCACCCCAGTGGCCCCACCCCTGTATTCACCAGTGCATTCCCGCCAGGTGTTTTCAACTTCCTGATTGCCGTGGTGCCACACGCCATCAAACAAGTCAAATACAAGAGCCAGATCTGGTAGCTTATGATAACTAATAGGTTTGTTGAGGCTCTGTATGCACATGATTTTTCTCCTGTTTTATTTACATGAAAGTGATGTAATGACCTTGACCTTATACACTGACATTAGAGTTTGTCGCTATACCAGAGTGTTATCAAAACAGACATGAATCACATGACATAGACCTGGGAGCAGTTTGATCTTGTATTAGTAAAGGCTCTAGAACTTTGATAAAGTCACATTTAACAACAATAAAATATCCAGGAGGCAGCTTCAGGCAACATTTCTTGGAAGAGGCTGTACTTTAAATTTTTTAGTGGTTTAGTAACAAAAATTCCCAAGAACGTGCCAGCGATGTTTGCATTTAAAATTTAGCAAATTCTTTGGATGCTTTTAAATAGTCACGTATAAAGCTTGCAAAGAACAGCACAGGCCTGCAATTTTTGGGCAAACGATTTTTTGCAATGGCCCACATTTAACTGTGGTGGGGAAGTTAGGAGATTTAATTATATAGAGGGCCGACTTTGGGATATCTTTCATCTGTAAAACAGTTGTACTGGTAAACCGACCAAAGTGCTTAGGAGTACGTTCATACAAATTATACAATAATCCTTTACTCAAACTCTCTGAAATATGGAAAGTATATGTTTAAGTCCTTAATTCTGAGAGAGGGTTGAAATACTTAAGAAACCTGGCAGCTAAATCAAATAATTTCATGTCAGTCGCCAAACGTCTCGAACCCATTACTGCCTTGCGTTTTCAAAATGCCTTATTTTTGTCGCAAATGCACAGCTGACAGATGTGAGTATATCTGAAGACATGAACTGCAAGTCAAGCCTTGTGATACCTGATAAATGTCCATGGTTTTATCTTTTAAATACATAATTCTGTTCATACATCTAGATGTGCCCAGAGGCAGGTCTACACAAGTGAGGTTTGGCTTTCCGTTTAGCGATGACTGACGAATCCTCTGGTGTATCAAAGTAGCTGCAGTTAACCTGTAGCATGTGGGGAGACTTTCACATTTAAATGGCCACTTATCGCGTTGCTGTGAGACTCTTACCCCCAGCGCAGGTGGTGGAGCACTCAGACCAGGGCAGGTGGTGCCAGGAGAAGCCAGCCTCGTTATCCCCGCTTCCTGTCCGCGCGATGGGTACGTTGAACCTGTAGCTGATGCCAAGGTTCTGCTCCTGCAGGAGGACCTGCGCAGCAGAGAGGCCTTCAAATGAAACTGATGCACAACTGTAGGGCTGCACAGAAATGGGGAAAATGGTAATATCGCAGATTACCTTATATATTCCTGCAAAAATAGCAGGAATTGGGAATATCTTTACTGTATTCCCACGATGGTGGTAATAAAATTTATTGTAACACTGTGGTAATGGAGATGTAACTGCTTGTACCTGTATTTTCTTATATCTGCTATATTAATTATTATAAGTCTTGTTCTCTTAAATAATTTGTTCTCACTCCAAAACCACGTGGCAGTGTCAAGTGATTTAATAATTAAGATATTTAAAGGCAAATATTGACATTTTACACTGTACCGTTGGTGTGCTAGTGAACACAGGGAGGGGGAGGGGATGCGGATGAGGATAGATATCCCCGTGTAGCTCTCTACGCACAAACCCCCAGTAATCGAGCAGCCTGCCTTGCCCACGTCCCTTGGTACCATGCCCACCTATATATATTTAGCAAGTTCGGCTGCGGTGCTGCCGTGTTTATGTTTGAGTTTGAGAGGCAGAAAAGGATTATGGGTATGAGGGGCAGCTCTTTGAGCCACAAGGAAATTACTTGTGGTGGATTGGCCGGCCTTTTCTATTCCGGTACTCCTGTGAGGTCTGGTATTTTCAGCCTTAAATTTCAGCCGAAAGCCAGCATGGTCTAGGAAACCACAGGCCAGACAAAGATATAAATATTATAAACATACACACGTATATAAATATCTGTCTGTGAGTGTGTCTGTGTGTGTGAGCATCTGTCTGTGAGTGTGTACCTGTGTGTGAGCATCTGTGAGTGTGTCTGTGTGTGTGAGCATCTGTCTATGAGTATGAGCATATGTTTATGAATGTGTCTGTGTGTGAGCATCTGTCTGTGAGTGTTTCTGTGTGTTTGAGCATCTGTCTGTGAGTTATCCAAGCAGTTTTTTTTTTTTTAAATATCAGTTAATATAAGTGAAGAACATATAATGCTGTCATTCTGGATAGTGTAATAGCACTTCTACATTAAGGAGAAGTTTTTGATATTTTTTAAATTCTATTATTTACAGTGAAAACACAATGTTAAGTTGGCCATACTGAGACCCTTTATAACAACATGCCAAATAATGTCACGTCAACTATTAAGCATGCAAACAACAATGGATACATTTTTATGAGGGTTTCCTTATTTTGTGTTGTTTTATTAGTTTTTTTCCCCACCACAGTAATGTAAACAGCTAGGAAAGCTGGCTTGAAATCTGTATCTTGGTCTAAGATTCGCATTATCACCACTGACGTTACTCTTTCAGTTTTCCGTATTATTCAAGCCATCCTACACGTGAAGCTCATGTTGGCCAAACCACACCTATAACAAAGGGCTCCTTGATACACAGACATATAATTTCACAATAAGGAGGCACTGTGATGCTGCGGTGGTGTTACCATGACAATGAGGTTTTCTGTGGTGGTCCCCAGGGCTTCCAGTGACTCGGGTTCATCCGTCGGCCTTTTGTAGTGGAACGCCGTTCCGGCAATGTCGAACTTCCGGGGCCAGTCGATGGTCCACGCCCCGTTGATGTAGTATTCATCTCCTTCAGACTTTAGCGCTGAAAGACGTGAAATGAAGGCATCCTGACATCACCGACAGCGACTTTCGCACCATTGCCACTGAAGGCTTGCCTCCTTGGAGCTACACCTTGATAAACGACCTCCTCAGGTAAAAATGGAGCTCCGTTCAGTCTGTCGTCAAAACAAAGGTTCCGTCTCCAACCACAATAAATCTCCCGAATCTCCACTTTCTCACATCTGAGCAGCAGCCAAGCCGCAAATCACGGCTGATCCTCCTGCCCTCGAACATCCCTCCGAGGTTATCATTAGGAGCTGGCCGTAATCTCCTATGTTATCGGGGAGCGGTGAGCGTGACTCATCAGCTTTGCTTTTCGTTACTAATTACACAGGCTTCCTTTTTCCACATATTCTGCATCCTTTCATGGAAAAAACTCAGCACAAAAGCGACGTTCTTCACAGACAGATGCCCCATTGGCAGAGATTCCAAAAACCATGTGCAGACTCTCACTTGGCAGGAGACCTGCTTCTTAAATTCTAAACTACAGGATCATTCCAGTGGACAATTTAATAAAGGCGAGTAAATCCACGTTGCATTCACCATCTCTATGCAACTCTTTTTCTTTCCAAATAATCGCACCGAGCAGGGATCCTGTGTTCCCATCACAGACGGGCATCAGACCTACTCCATGAATCTAACGCTGGACGAAACAACATATTAAATGCCGTCCTTCAGCCTCAATAAATCAAACCACTTCTGGCATATTGTTTCAGATGCTTCGCTAATATCTCACCAGAGCCAAATTTGGAACGTGTCATCGTTTCAGAGAGCTGAGCCGACGCTCAGCCTGCCAGCATCTATGTTTGAGTTATGATTACCATAACCAAATCCACTTGTCTGACTGTTTAAATTACGGAGACTGTGACTTCTCTGTATCTGTAATTCAAAAAAAACGATCTCTCTCCTTCATCTTGTCCACTAAAATCAGTTGCTCACAGTGAAAGCACTGGCTGTCACAGTAATGCAGATTTATAGCTGTGCAATAAACAGACCCGCTCTGCCGATTCACAAACCACATCTGCAGCTGACTGTCTCCCCCGCGGCGCTGACTGGCGCGATGGAGGAAGCAGGTAAGAAAAAGCAGCAGTAACTAGAAGTCTATTATGCAGTCTTGGCTGGCAAACAATACTCTAGAAGGATAAACAGCCTGGGAGAATTTCTCAAGTCCAAAGTATTGTTACTCCCTCTGAGTGTGAAATTCCTACGAGCAAGAAACAGATACCAGTACAACGTGCAAGAAAATGTGAATAAAAACGGTTCCTAGTCACAACAAAACAGGTTAGCCATCTATACAACTGCATTCTTACTGTCACAAAATATTATGCGCGCAACCACTTACCAATGTAATTCTTTGAGACGGCTACCTCTTTGATCTCGATGTGAACTGATCCACGTGGGATCAGAACGACCTCCATGTAGCCTGGAAGAGAACGAGAAAATGGAGTAGAGCTACAGTAAAGATGACAGTGATATGTCCTTATTCTTTAAGTTACCATCAAGGTGATACAGGACAAAAAAAATCATAAATATGTGCCAAATCAGGATTCCTACATGAAAAACTAAGGGTATTCCTTAGCAGCATGACACCTATGATACATTTGTAGGCATGCAAGTCTGATTAAATGTATCTCAACTGAGGAGATTGAGAAATTCAGTTTATCACCAACGTGACACAAAGAAGCAATTATTTACATGAAGGATCAAGTGCCTTGCAAAAGCTCTGCTCCTGGCAGAGCAAAAACACCCGTTTGTCATAAACGGCAATTTCTACAAGATAAGAGGACATATCATCATGGTGTGATTTTAGACCTGCCAAAGCTGGCAGGGTAGCCAAGACGGGGGTTGTTCTGGTCCAGTCAGGAACACAGGATAAGCTTTGGTGGTAATACACCTTACACTAGCACCCTTCCCAGTGGAAGTTCACACCCATAATGCACCCCCCCCCCAAAAAAAATAAATAAATAATTAAAACATCCTGTTGTCATTCACAATACCTCCTCTTGGAAGAGAGTCATTGAAAAGTCCTTCTGTGACCTCACACGTGCTGCCATCCCCACCACACACACGGCACCGGTCCTCCTTGGCATCCGAACCGAGTATGTTGTCACATCCCACGTGCTATGGGTGCAAAGACAAACCCAGTGTCCAATCACAGCTGGCTGAATGGAGGAATGTGATCAATCAGTTACAACACTATGACAGCACAGCCATAATGGGCATTTTGGGAGTCACCTGACAAGCATACATACCACCTCTGATAGTGTCTGCTCTGTTCTGTTTTACTTCTATTTTACTCCAGTTGTTGGGTACACAAGTTATTCATAGAGGTCTAAAAGTAATGAAGAACAAATACTTCGTCATTGTAATTAAGTAGGTTTTTTTTTTGGCACTTAACTTGAATATTTTAAGTTGTTGCAATTTTTACTTTCACGTTGCTACATTTCAAAAACCAACTTTTTACTCCAATACACTCAATAATAATAATAATAATAATAATAATAATAATAATTAAAAAGATGTGCAAAAAGCATACAGCAGACCTGAGTGTAGGCCTGCACGATTTGGAGTACAATGTAAATCACATTTTTTTCCCCATTCAGAATCGAAAAATGTAACATTATTCTGTGAATGTACACTGTGAATGTACACTGTTAATGTACACTGTTAATGTACACTGTTAATGCACAGTGTTAATGTACACTGTTAATGTACACTGTTAATGTACACTGTTAATGTACACTGTTAATGTACACTGGCAATCTCGGCAAGTTTCACCCCCAGCAACTGCAGTGGACTGCAGCTATGACCAAGCTACCTACAAGCAGCATATTTTCTCAGTAAAAAGAAAATATCTGCTTATCCTCTTGCGACTCAGTTATCCTTACTGTGATGCACTGTAACTTAAAATGCTGCATTCAAACCTGTCTTGAGTGAATTTAAAAGGATGGGTTGCATTTGATAAGATTAATAGATCTGAATGTGTAATACTTATTACTTTTCATACTGAAGTAGTTTTAAAACCAGGTATTTTTTTTACTTTTACTTGAGTAGTATTTTACTTGCTTTTACTTGAGTAACATTTTGGTGTGATATTTGTACTTTTACATAAGTATGAAAATTGAGTACTTTTCCCACCACTGGTTATATTTCTGACTTATTAGTTTTGTTCAGTAAATGCAACTCAGATGATGACCAGCACTGTTTAGTTCTGATGCTGCTCACATACACCAACAAATACTGATTGTTACTCAAGAAGAGAGCAGTACGTGCTTGAAAGGCAGGAATATTTCTAACATGTATCATCTTGTACTAGAGTAATGTTGCAAAGCCAAAAACACACAAAAATCTTAATTTCTTCTGGTTTTGGAACAATGACATGCATAGGTTTTCTGCCTTATATGGATTTTATATTCTATTCACAAAGGACCAGGGAAAAAGTTATAGTTCAATACAAATTCTCCACACAGAATGTCTACACTAATGGACTACACTGCTTTAAAATCTGATTTTAACCACCTTGTCTTTCAAGAGAACTGAAGCATCTGAAATAGGTTTTGTGGTGACTATGATATCTGCAAGAAAATAACGATGGTGACATCGTCCTCACGTTTCAGAAGACTGTATAAATATGACGTCCATTTGAAAAGAAGCCCAACAGGGGCCAGTGTGCCTCTGCAGGAAAGGCAGTAAAAAATGACTCACATTCATGTAACAAAGAGTGACTTGGAAGAGGAGCTGATGCCATGATTTTGAGCTTTAAGGGGGGAGAAACACCAGCTTTCATCAGGGATTGTCTGGTGAATCACATTTTTATGACCTCCCAAAGATCAGCCCTGCAATATAAAAAGTGATCCCTTCTGCTCAGAACAGCAAACAAGCTGTATCCAGGTTATGCCACACACACACACACACACACACACACACACACACACACACACACAGACACACACAAACACAGGTTTGAAATTATATCTTTGTGGGGACTTTCTATTCATTTCTACGGGGAAAACTCTAATCCCAACATGGCGACCATAACCCCTACCCAGCCCTAACCTTAACCATAAGTAACCAAATAAAATATGAGACATTGTACTTTTTTGATTGCATTCACAGATCTTTGTGAGGACCTGAAAAATGGTCCCCACAACATCAAAAAACAGGCTTTTATTACATTGTGGGGGATATTTGGTCTCCCAAATTTATCTTTCCATCCCTTTGATCCCTTCAAACTACAATTCAAAATGCCACTGCAACTTCCCAAACACAAATAGTTTAAAAGCTGATGATAATAATGTTTGACCACTACACAATACATAAATAAGTAATAAAACACTGTGTTCTGCAGTACAAACAACGGCACGCATATTGGGGTTCAAAATAAAATTCTACATGTCACTGCAACTTCCCAAATACAAACAATTAAGAATTCTAGGCCTATGTTGCATATGACAAACAGCAATTGACTCGTCATGGTTAACTATTCCAGTAAATCACTCCCACACATAACTTTTCTGCCCTTCCTATTTATTTGTTTTTAATTCTCCTTATTAGATTTTCACTCGGATCTTTTTTTTTGCTGCTTAAGACAAATGAAACCCGCAATGAGAGTCTAGTCTGCTAATTCGTACCTGACATAAAATGAAGCTTAAAATTTGTTAAAATTTTAGATAATGTAATTTATATTTTCCTAATTTATGCTACATATCACCCACCTACAGCCCATTCGGAAAACATTTGATAAATTTGAAATAAAGTTTGAGAGAATTTGGCAAAAAACTATTTTGGAATAAAATGTGTGTGCTAATGTATGAAATCCGGTTTGATGGTCTTGCATTTTTATTGCCCGTTTGTGGTATCACGAGTAAGAAGTAGACTATTATAATTTAATTTATATAATTTCCCATCAAATGTTTGGCCACAAAGAGAATGAATGAATGACATTATGCACACAATCACAGCTATCATGTTAGTATGACAGTATAGACGCTCCTCTAATTACAAACTTTCAACTTACAAACTTTCAGACATACGAACGAAGAGGACTGCAAGTCCAAATTATGTTTGTTGGGCTCCTGTTCCCTGTCTGCAACATCAGTTTCTTTTTCTGTGTGCCAATTCCGCCTAGTACGACCTCTGGCCGCTACTCCCGCCGCGCAGCAGTATAGCGTGTGTACTCCCAGCATCCCAGTTCTTTGTACTTGCGTATACCCAAGGCGGCCCTAAGCAGAATTTTATTTTGAGCCCCCACCCCCCCCATTACAAAATGACTGTATCACGAAATCACCTGCATGGATCCAACTGCCTGTCAGCGCATTTGACCGCTGATTGGTCAGATGCTGAGTGCTGTCAATCATTGCTGCAACGCGCACGGTGTCAGATCACTCGTCTCTTTTTTTTTCTCTCCTGCCTTGGGCTGATTTGGTGCTCTACGCGAGCAAATGCAGAGAATGCGTCCCCTTGCGGAAAATGGGCCCCCCCATGGATCGTGGAGCACTACGCACAGCGCGTGTTCTGCGTATAGGGAGGGCCGGCGCTGCGTATACCCTTAAAATAATGTTGAATAACGACTTATGAACATTTCAAGTTATGAACGGCCATTTGGAACGTATCTCATTCGTGAGTAGAGGAGCGTCTGTATAAGTCATACCATACAGCAAACTATAATAGGTATACGTCCAGTGCTATTCCAAAGATTGCAAAATGGATATTTGTAAGGGACTAACACATGGCTGTCAATACAAAAATAAGCGCACTAAATGGTGGAAGGTTATATCACTGGAGCTGGATCCATGCCTGTTCTGCAGCCAAAAGCCACAACTTCTCCAATATGGCGGTCAAATCGTTGCACTCGCAGTCACGTGATAGCAGGTTTAGTAAATATACGTCACTGATCAGAGCACTTTTGTTCCCTTGTGTTTGGGTCCACCAACACTCGTGTCTGTCTGCACTCTTGCAGCCCACAGGGATCGCAGTATTCTGGGTATAAATCCCAAAACCAGGTCAGAAGAAAGCTCTGTACAGGATCCTTGTGTTCTAGGAGTCCTGCCCTGCCACCCTTTCGCACTCAAATTTTGCTCATTAATCTTCCACTCATGTTACTCGCTTGCTTGCAGAGGAATCGCAAAGACCCTCTACAAGTCTAAACAACCCTTTATTTCCAATTACCTGACTGATGTAACCTGACAGCTTAATCAGCACATGATAAATCTGGTCTCCAACTAAGTGATTTTCCAACTAACCTCTTACGTGCCTTGTAGCCCAGTAACTACCTAATTACATATTTTGTGCTACAATATGCTTAGGATATTTGCTGATGGAAAAACTCCAATGTAAATCAAACAATGTTAATTACAGTTTGCTTTTCATTGACAGAATGAGCAGCCAAAATATGTGTTGCAAATTACTTGCATATTCTATCAGCAGAATTTTCCTGTCATTAAAGCAATGCTTCGCTGTAAATACAATTTTATTAGCTATAACACTGTGTGTTGATGTCAAAGTCTCGCTAAAGTGTCTTTAAAGCTTTTTTTTCTTTGCATGCAATTCATATTTTTATGGTGATGTAGGAAGCCAATGGGAAACACATGACCATGCTGGGTGGTGTGTGTGAAATCTACAGAAGGCTCCATTTGTCAGTCAGGACGGTCAGTCCCCACCTTGCACTCCCCATTGATGCAGATGTCCAGGGAGTCAGCCTGGCAGCGGGTGCCATCGATCACAGCCGGAGAACGCTCGGTGTAGAAGTTGTATCCCTCCGCCAGGCAATTGAGGGCACATGGTTTCACGCCACCTGATGCACACCGAACATGGACAAGAGTGAAAAGTCAAACTCGACAAACAGGGCACCTTGGCCATCAGTGTAAAGATGACATCATTGTGTTGGAGTAAGGGGGTCACGTCAGAATAAGTCTCTTATGCTTTTGTAAAATACTGAATGAGAGATATTAAACACTACTGCTTGCCTCTAACAAGGCTTATGAGGGTAAACGGGTCAAAGACACGCCTCAGCACAAGGAGGTCTGAGTCAGAACCTGGCAGAACGCCAACACGGGCCTGTGAGGGCTGAGATAGCGCGTCGGATCCCTGTCATTATTACCGCTTCTACCAAAGACGCGTTCTCTGGCTTGGCTCTGAGTCTTACGATCCGTGGGTTCTCTCGACGCCAAGCACACTTAGTCTTTATAGCTTTTTGCAGAACATTTGATAAGTTTAAATGGGACTTACTATTAGATCAGACATAAATCTCCTCCGAGAAGGTCTTGGAATGGGGTCTTGTCATTGTCATTTGGTTTGGCCTTGGTGAAGCAGACATATTTTTATTTCCGGTAGGTTCACCATAAACACCCCAAGTACATTTATGACCAAAGCAAAAAGTCGGCTAGCAGCAGTGAAGGCTTGGGAGGGAATGATCTACGACCACTGGCAGCTTTTGTCTTCATCCTCTGACATTGACTGGGAAGCCGTAGCTAGATAACTCCAGATCCTACTGGCAAGGGTGGGTTTGTTGTTTTTCAAGCCCCACTGAAAAAGTCACTTTGGGGCCCCCTGTCCCACCCGTCAGATGTTTCAAAAACTAAATAAATAGCTAGTCAGTAGAGTCAGAAGATCATAGCTAGCTAGCTGGTTAGCAGAACATGCTGCGTCAGCATTTCCTAAATAAGGAATGCCTTTATTTTATATTTACCGTGGTGACCATTTGTGGCCAATTGGAGACCTCCCAAGCTCTAGTGACCCACGCAAGTGCTTGGTTTTTGTCCCTCAGAGCGACGTCTGTTTCCATAGCAACGGCCCTCAGACCAAACACCCCAAGAGGGAATAATGTTTGAACGGCGGAGCAGAAAACCCTAAAACGCATCAGGGTCCTGGAATTCCTGGAATTCTCTAGGTACCAAAAGGACATTCACTCTGTTTTTGTTAAGGGGATATACTGTCATTGGTGGTGGATAAAGGATAGACTGAACCAATGTCCCAGCTTCCTGTGCACCAATCAGGAAAAGGGGTGTGTGGCTACTGCTAGAACTCACCTCCAGTATACGGTTTCCAATTGTAGTACTTTCCCCGGAATGGTAGGCTGTCGAAGTCGGCACACTGCTTCTCCCGGAAATCCCGAGATCCCACCGGACAGGCCTGTGACAGAGAGGGGAAGACAGACCACCAGCCTTTCACAATGGAGAACCGGGAACAAACACAGAGACGACACAAGCTCAAGTTTCAGGTCGGCTTCTGGACGCGACCATGCCAGCGATGCTAAGAGGAAAAGAATGTGTTCATCTTCAGAGGGGACCCTGTTTGGATGGGGTGGAGGGCAGTGGTAGGGGATTTCACGCAAATGTGCTATTCCTCTTTGCTGTTTTGGGATGGTATTTCTCACTTGGACGTTGTTCCAGTGACAGACAGAGGGGGGCGATGTTAAGGGTGTCTGAGCTCCTCTAAAACCTAACTACATGCTCCCCCCGGACACATAAAAGCTTTACAAACTGCAGTTCACTGCCATATTTTATAGACCATAAGTGTCTAACCACACTCAGAGCAAATGAGACATAGCTGAATCCCATTAACGCACCAAAGCACATAACATGGCCCCGGCCTAAGTGCGTAACCTGGAAAACTTCTTACAGGCCGGACCTCAAGCGGACTCGAGGATGTCTTGCATTACCAGGTGGGGGGGGGGGGGGGCAATTAAATTTAATGCGGTGACAAGTTTTTTCCCCGCTAATGAAAATTGTACTTCTTTCGTTGACTTACAGGCCTTTAAAGTTACAAGTTTATTCGGTTAATGGGGTGGGGTGATAACAGACCGGGTTTACTTACATGGAATCACAGCTCACAGTATTACGCTGGGACAGTGTTACAAGCGAACTCCTACTGCTGGGACTACAGTTAGACCAGTCTAACTTTCACACGCCTAGAGGAACGGAACATGTTAGCTATCAGTTAAACCCTGGGTTGGAAGGTCACAGCTACTTAATATAGCCTCATAAAGGCTGGATGGTAAGCTCAGCGGCGAGCATTCATACTCCCCCGGCTTTATGATGAACTCAGCGGCGCCCCTGGTCCCCGCCTTTGTTACCATGCATTCAATTACAGGTGACATTTAGCTACACAAAGGGGAGCCTCCGTCAAACTCCAAACGCCAGCTGCGGCTCTGCTGTAAAATGCCCGCGCTCTTATGAAGGGACGATGGGGGGGCCAGGGCGGGGGTGGATTAACTCATTGGTGAGATACCCGAGGTCTTATAGTCTAATAGCGCCCTGCAGAACTGCTCCCACATCAAAGGGCATGGAGAAGCACCTCTTGCTGTGACCTCCTGGACTGGACTGCCCTACTTTGGCTGCTCAGAAGGGTTTGCTTCGACCGGGGTTTACACTTGGACCTGTGTCCTGCCAGCACCACTCCCCCAGGCACTGGTCAGGTCACCCCCAGGACCGGTGAGCCACGCAGGCCCCGTTTGTGTTGGACGGCTAACACGGAGAGCAATCAAATGGTGGTACATCTTTGTTTTCCAAGACAAACTTTCTTGTGTTTGCTCAAGCTGGATATTTTTAAGTTTGGTGAAGGCAGACCCACGCACCCGCCTCTGGCTTTACCCCCTCCCCCCCCACCGAAGGAGCACAAGCCACCTAGAGACATGGAGATGCAAATTGAGAGCAGTCAGCCACATTGAAATATTTGTTCCCAGCAAACATTGGAAACACAAGCTCCTGTTTGAGGCCTGTGGCAGTAAGCATAGCTGGGCCCATTCACAAGGATGCTGGACGCGTTACCTGCCCAGGTGAACGTGCGTCTTGTGTGTAACCATTTAACTAATACACACCAGTCCTCCTACCCTCCTGAAGCACGACGGAAACCATGCATTTGGAAGCAGTACAGCAAGCATGCAGAACCCTAACTGAATGCAACCATCTATTGACATCTCTTGATGGTGCCTTAATTAATTTAACAGGCATGTCTTTAAGCAGACCCCAAGATCGCAAATTCAAAAGTAAATTCAGTATAGATTATTTCTGCAAGGATGGTTTCAGGTCAATTTCAAGCATAACTCAACATCCCTTTGACCTGAGAATGGCTTTCTGAGTACCATTCCAAGTACCAATTTTCTGTCCTAAAGGGATGTCTGGTTAATTTTCACCTTCATTTGACTGATTTTGAAAAAAAATGATCAGTCTCAGTTGGTCGTCCAGTCTCTGTTATTGTGTCTTATACGTGACTGTCAGGGACCCATCAACGACAAGATGATTCCAAGCTGCTCATCGTGACTGTGGATCATCCCCCGAGAGATCATTGCTCATTTGTGAAGAACCATGATTGGGCCTGATGAAGTATATGCCCAACAACTTACCAACCCCACCAAGAACAGGCAGAAATTGGAGGAGTGATAGGGGGCGGAACAAAGAGAGAGACAAAAAGTACACTCACATCCGTATTGCATGACCTGTACCTCTTCCTCTCCCCAAGACAGTACTTTCCTCCACCTGAGGGTCTGGAACAAACAAGAACAGCAAAGGTGAGTTAGGTATCTACCCACCTGCAGCCACACAGGAAGATTAATCATAAATGCGCTGACCCTTGTCCGCGTGGGTCTGGATTGCCCAGAGTCTGGTAGGACCAACTACTCTCCAAGGGATGGTTGGTTCTTTTATGGTTTAGCTACTTTGTGGTAGATTGCCAAATGCAAAAAAAAATTAAGTGAAGGAAATGACAGACAAAGACCATTCACATGACCATGTCCCATACCGAATACCCTAGTTCTCTGTGTTTGAGGTTAATGTACTGATACTGATCCTAAAACCATGTGGGTACGACACAAGTATAGGTCAAAAGGTTACATATTTTTAAAGGTAAACATTTTCTCAAAAATCTTCATCTATCCTAAAATGTGCACTGTTGGCTGACACTCCAGAAGAGCCAGAGCAGATTCACAGAAGTATCTTTCTTTGGTTTTAAAGACTACACATGTACTGTTTTTGTTTGTCACCAATTTGATATTTGAGTGGAGCAGATAACGTTTTCAGGGAGAGTGAGGCCAGCAAGGTCAAAGGTCACTCTCCCAAATACATTCAACCCAGAGTTTGGCAAATGTTGGACTCAGTTTCACCCATTGTATACAGCACTGTGATTATCATCTTGCTCATAAACCTGATAGTCATTTATGGTACATAAAAATGTTCTGTCTGATTCCATGGTTTCTCAGGGGGTCATACATGTCGGCAAGCGACACCTTTCCTTTCCTTGTGATTTTTTGTATTTGAAGGCACTGTTCAACAAATGGGCATTTGCTTACTGACTAATAACCTGGGGTTCACCAAGAAGTTTCGATAATCGCTAATCCGCTAACTAAATTCCATAATGCTAAACCGATAAACCACTAAAAAAAATTAGCGGAAGCTAAAGATAAACCCTGACTGCTAACTTTTGTTATATGAATTTAGCTTTGGGTTGGTTTTGGGCTCTGAAACCCTTAAAAACATACCTAGACAGCTGAAATCCTTACCCGTTTAACAATATAGTTTCACAGGGCTAGAGTGATTACATGGGGTTATTTAGGTCTTCTGGGGATCATTGAATTCTGTAGAGTCTTTGGAATACATTTTCTTTCAATGCTATTCTGTTTGTTTTTGTCCGAGGTGTTTTTGTCCGAGGTGTCCTATTCCATGACTGGCTCATGCTGACCTTTTTCCCTCAGTGAAACCACCTGGGGACTACAAACATGGCGCCATTTACCCAGAACTAGGATGGAGGGTCTCAGCTCTTTATTGGTCTATAGATCTGTCAATCAGAACCCAGAAAATAAAGTAGAATAACCAGGGGCCGAGGCAGAATTTCTTGCTTAGCCGGATAGTTTTCCGTATATAATGTAGTCTGGGCTAAACATAAGTGAACGAAGATAAAGTCCATTTAAAATAGGGTATCTGAAATTCGACAAGTTATAGGATTAAACAAGAAATCCAGCTTTGTAACACTGGCCCCAGTTCTCTGATTAGTTTGGAGTACCCCAGTTTAAATAGACATTAACTTTGTTTACTTATGTTTAACCCAGACTTTCCTGAAATACAAGTTATCGACTCATCACATCTTGTGTGATGAGTTGATAACTCAACAACATACCAGATAGACTGTTGCAGACATGCGCACAACAGACCGAAACAACTATGTGTGATTTTAGGATTTATAAATGTTTTTGACTATTAAACTTTACCTATGAAAAAATGTTAGCAGGTTTACAGTTAGCTAGTTCGTCTGCTAACAGTTTTCAAAGTCAGAGGAAACACTAATCTGCTAATGAAAAAGTTAGCTTCCCTAATTAGCGGTTAGTGGACTAGCAGAAACCTGTCCACCACCGCTAATAATAGCGTTAATAATTTGAAATGATCTAATATATGAGTGTTGTGCATCTTCGCTCACTCCAGTGGGGACATATTACACGATTACTGGATTTGTAGCTGCGATTCAGAATCCCTGTTATCCCTTAGATTGTGGTGGTTAGATGGCAGGTCAGCCTCATCTCGGGCTGCCTGTGTTGGACGTTGCAAAACAAGGTTCATCACTGTCACACAGTAGCCTGCACTGGGCATAAGTAGTTATTTCTTTTTATTTAACAGTAGACCTGAAATGTAACTCCCCTTGGCCATTTTGAAAATCCAGCCACAGTCCACACATATGCTTGGTCGGTGTTGTGTTGTTTTTTAATTAAGGGCAGAACGTCTAAATGTATCGTTATTATGCCTTTTTGAAAAATCAACAACGATCCTGCAGAATGAGCTGTTGGAAACATTGCCGGCCTCATTTTACACTCTGGTGTGTTTGGCACGATGAGGACCCACTGACGGTGTCGTGCCTCAAAATAAAAACTCGATGTTCGTTAGTGAACGGGGACCATTCAGCAAGTGGCAGAGACACGGGCAGCCCAACCAAAGTGAGGGATCTCTTTCCTGGCTGCCTGGTCCATTTGGGTTTTGAGGTGGGGGGGTACGACGAGGTGGGAGTAGGTGGCTGGAGACAGGAACCCCAGCACTTGGGAGTACAGCTGCCCAGCCCCCGCCCCCCCACCATCTAATGAATGTTTTCCAGGCCTGCCTGGCTGAAGAACTCTGGTTTCCTCCACACATGCTTGGTGCCCCGCCCAGGAGGGGCCATTGCCTTTCCACAGGTGTTATGCATTACGTCGGCCACACTTTCTCCACTGTCGGAGGGCACGGCGCGAGGACAGACGTTTCCGCACCCACCGGAGCTGAAATCCTAACTGTCGGGAGGTGCCCCCCCCCGCTCCCAGCAACTGCTGAGTGCCCAGCCAGGAGCGTCTGCGGCTACATTGGAACTCTTCTCCAGTTTTCTCAAGTCGGCCACATTCGTTTATGTGTACTGAGCCGCACGGGTAGAAGACAGTGCAGCCTTAATGACAGTGCGGTGGCATCAACTCAGTGCCCAGTGGCTGGGGGTGGGGGTAAAATCTATCCAAGGCAGCACAGAGCACAAGGCAGGCATACACCCTGGATGCCCCCGTGACCCCCACTGACCAGGATAGGCAGTTAGAAGACGAATGGACGGGTGGCTGGAGGGATGGATGAGATATGCAAATCAGGTAGGCCACTAAAAAGTTAATTCAACACAGGCAAGCCCCGAATTCAAAAACAGCTTCTGCATTCTGCAACACTGGGCACTTCCTTAGTACCATCTTTGTTTGGGCAACTTAAATTAACATGGTGCCGTCTCATTAAATTAGTATGGCAACCGTCTCTGTGCTCTGACTGCACCTCCACCCTGGAACCATCCGTCATGAAACAACTGGGCGGCTTGGCTTGTAGCTCGAATCCATGCCAGGCCTGTGCCAAACATGAACGCCAAGTAAAACGGACCATCAAACCAAGCATTTATTTGGCCTTAACGATGAGAATTATGCTATCGTATTAATTAGTTCAATAGACACATAGCCACAACTTCAACAAAACCTCAGAAATTACCCTGAAATTACCCCCGAAATTACAGCAGCGAGACAGCAAAAAGCCAAATGAGAAATTTTCATGCATAAACAAAGTACAATTTGACTAGATCAAAAGAACGTTCATTGCACACTGATAAAGGAATCTTGGGTAAACATCTGCACATGACATATATTCTCCAGAAGAGTGAAACTACCCTGCTGACCCTGAGTGTATGTCTTTTTCCTTCTGAACCTGCAGACTTTAACTGTATCACATTCCCCACCTGCACAGCTAGTTTTGGTAATGGTGTTAATTAATTAATGTGAAATGCAACTCATTCATCCATGTTTTGCAACTGCTTGTCCACTTCAGGGTTGTAGGGTTCTGGAGCCTACCTCGGAAGCTACAGGTGCAATGCAGGGAATAACCCAGGATGAACCACACACCAGTAACACACACATGCTCATCCACGGGCAATTTAGCAACTCCAATTCACATTTTTGGACTGTGGTGGGGAACCGGAGTACCTAGAGGAAACCATATGATGACACGGGGAGAACATGCCAACTCTACACGCGTGGAGCCATGGTACCGACTCGAAACCAGGTTCCAGGGGTGTGAGGCAACGTTGCTATCTCTGTTGTGGGTGGAGGGGGTACAACAGATGCACGCAATTGGCTATCGGTGTAACGAGAGGCAAAGAGTCCATTCAGGAGGCAGGTCTTGCAGAATCCAAGCGGGTCTGGTTTCCTTTGGCTACTTACACTGGACTGTCGCAGTGCCGCACGGACGAGGATACGCCACCGCCGCAGGTCCGGCTGCACTCGCCCCACATGGACCAGGGCCCCCAGCCGCCATCCACGCTCTGGGGCCATGTCCCAAATGACACGCATTCTCCCTGGTAACACCACTGGGGGAGAGAGACAGGGGGTGATGGTTTATCGCAATCATTGCTGCTGTTTCTGTTACTCTGCTGTGGAACTCACCTAGAAGAGGGTGTTTTACAATCCCCACAATCTGCTCAATGCAACATTTACACCCCATCAGGATTTTCAAGCTTCAGTTATGATCTGCAGCAATGCAGCCCTCACTGATTAGCAGAAGGTAGCTTCTGTTATCGAGAGCTAGCATCAAATCATTAGCGAACTGTTACTGAAGCTAGCTACAAAACGAGTAATGGGCAAGCCCTCTCAAACAGCTGGTTTTGAATGTTTTTAATACTTTACTTTCCAGACAGAGCATTTTTATGTAAACTGAGGCCTTTGTGAGAATCAGTTCTGAAAACTGCAGTGATACCAAGAATTTTAGCATTGTGAAAGTCCTCATGAAAACTGTAAATAAAATGTCAAAGAACAATAGAAGTATTACACCTAACATCAGATAACAGTGATGTGTGCTTAAAGATATTTAATACAGTATATTTTATGAATAACGAATGTAAACTAAATGACAACAACAGAGTAATGCCGTGCAAATGATTGCTCATTCACAGTCACTGAAATCCACCAAAAAGCTGAATAAAACCTAATTAAATGCACCTTAACCTCTGATCTGTTTTATCTTTTGAGGTCTCAGACAGGTTTATATCAAACACAGGTCAGCCTAACATCTTCAGACTGTAGCCAGAGAACATGAAACATAAAACAGACAATTATAATGGAGAGCAGATACTGATCGACATCTGGATGCTTCATGTCTCCCGTGTTTTCAGACGTCAGTAACAGTGCTTGGATATTCACACCTCAAAGAGTATTACACACACTTCTGTCATTAATTTTCTGGATTAACTATGACGAAAAGCCTGTTATTACTTAACTTAACTCCACCCTCACTAAGTATTTACTTCTGACGCCCTTCCTGGTGCTTTGCGAAAAGTCTTCACAAGCAAACTATCAGCAAACCCCTGGGTCGACTGGTTTAGCTGCACCCCTCCCAGAGACGGATTAATAACTGGTGTGTCCACTAGTTGGCGTCACCTGTTGACATGAAAGGCTGGGGACCATTTTATAAACAGGATTAACACGTCTCGACCAGGGTGACAGCAAGGGAGGGAGGGTAAGAGTGAGGCCGCTGTGTGACAGGCCCCAAAATAGCCCCCATCATGCTTTATCGGACAGGAGGGGGCAGGAATCAGTGCCAGGCACTACCTGTGTCTCCCATTCGCCGATGCGGAGGCCGTTGCTGTCTCGCTGCACGCTTTTGCCTGGCCTTAAGAAGCCTCTCTCCACCCCCGTTCCCACCCCCGCACCATCCCAAACACACTGAGTGATTAGGGCAAGATGCCGCTGCCAAGGAATATTGGTGACAGACGACAGGGTGACGTTTTTAACGAGAGCCAGCGCAGGGAGATGATCTGCAACATCTCCATACAAATTAGGCCTTGCGAGCACTTCCAATTTGGAACGAGAAGCTACGATCCATCCTTTGTTCAGCTCTTAAATGGTTTCATCCCGCCAAGCGTGTCTGCAGTTGTTTTCCATAAACGATCCCTGTAATGCAGATACGGCAATTAAAATGTCCATCCCAGCCGTATGGAAAAAACTTTGTCATTTAAATTATTGGGGCAAAACACACACACACACACACACACACACATTGGCAAGGTTAAACCAGCAGTGCATTACGTAGGCAATTCATTTTCATCATGCATTTCGACCTTATGACTTTGACCATAACACTCAGAGCTATAATGATCACTGCAACTAGACGACTAGGCTGGTGAAATAAACCGTGCTCGCAATAGGACAATTACTGCTCGTCGTCTGTGAACAGCTGGGATAAATTAGCGATCAACGGAAAGCCCTGCAAACCATGAGACCCAGAAGGTGATTCAGAGTCACAGATTTGCCCCCAAACGTTGCATCTCTGGATGGTGGGAGGAAACTTTAAGCCAGAGGAAGAGAAAGAGTACATGCAAACTCCATACACGCAGGGCCAGGGCCAAGCTTTATAACCACAAGCCTGGAAACACACTAAACCCTGAACCACCACATGGCTGCGTTTACTATGTGACATGTGACGTTACTAATTACAGACCGATTATAAAAGCAAACTGTGATTCTGTAAAGAATCCTGAGGATGCCTGGTGTGGATGTTTGCTGAGGCCTCCTAGAAATACATTCTCAGACCCGGAGTGATTCTTTCTCGCATATAATGACACATCGGAAGGCAACGGCCCATTTCGGCGCCATGGGAGGACAGGACCATTCTGAAGATGACACATCGCCGAACACAGGGTGTCTGCGGTTTGGGTAAAATTTTACACTCCTGTGTCACTGTATGTGGCCAGGCACCCCCCCCCCCCCCCCACCTTACACCGGTGGAGGTTTGATACGTCATGCGGGTCTTGGATAACAAAGCTGTGATACATCCTGAGCACAGGACAGACTCCCTGAGAAATAAAAATGGGGGGAAAAAAGCTTAAAACTAATTAATGAATGTATCCAGGATGGTGTGGAGGGGAGTGCAGCCACCTCACACCTCCGGCGCTGAGGGTTTGGATGCTGACTCCACTCTGGGTGTGTGGTCATGTATGTATTACATTGCAGGGACCAAATGTCCCAACAGTGTGATAAAAACCTGCTATTTTGGGCTTGTGGGGACATTTTCCGTTTTACCAACCAAGTTTTACAAAAATCTGTGAATGCAATCAAAAAACTAAAAATGCAGAATCTTGTATTCTCTTTGGTTACTTATGGTTAAGGCTAGGCAGGGTAGGGGTTAATTAAGGTTGTCATAGCTGGGATTAGGGTTATGGCCTGAGTGTGTGTGTATGTGTGTGTGTGTGTGTGGTAGGAATTTGCATGTTCTTCCCATGTCCTTTGGATTTCCTCCCCCAGTGGAAAGAGACACACGCTATCTGGTGTCCCCGAATCCTAGTTACTCATACACTTATTTAGCAGATGCTTTTATTTAAGTAACACACAACAAGCGACAGTCCCAGAAGCAATTAGAGGTTAAGGGTCTTGTTCAAGGGCCCAAAGGTAAGATCACTCTGCTAACCCTGGGATCCGAACCAGCAACCTTCCAATCATAAGCACAGCTCCCTAACCTGCTGAGCTTAAGAGCCGCCCCAGTGTATGTGCCCTGTCATGGACTGGCATCCCATCCAGGGTGTACCCTTGCCTTGTGCCCTATGTCGGTGTATCTAAATTAATAGGACAGGCTCTGGACCACCCCTGACCAGGATAAATAGTTAGATAAATAAGTAAATGGATGAATAAATCTTCCGGAGCCACGATGCGCTAATCCCAGGGCCTGAGTATTGCCCAGGAGTGTAAAGAAGGGACAGGCCACTGAATGGCTACATCAGACCAAGCATTAACGAGGGCCGATGGCCCATAAAACACGGCCATTCTGCCCTGTCGAGACGCGGCGCGAGTAGCAACAATGCTGCCATAATGTCCACTAAAGCCGTCTCTCTGGGCCAGCCTACCAGTAACACAAACTGATGACCCAATCTCATTGTGTGCCCTAATCCCTCCTGCGAGAGTGGGTGCTGGGAAAGGGACTCCTTATTCCCACAATGCCTTGCAGCCGCCAGCCGCCTAGCCACCACCGATCATTTCGGGTCACTTCTGCAGTGCCTACGTGGCACTGCCAGGCTCCTGCGAATGACATTTAAGGACAGTTCTACAAAAACCAGACCCCTCTTTATGGCATAAATTTAAAAGTAGCTGCTGCTAACTGACTAAATTACAAGCAAGGTGACGGAATATAGATTAATGGCGCAGCTTTGCAGTTAAATAGGAATGTGGTCTGTCGTTTTTTTGGATCTGGTATTATACTGCAATATAATAATAGTTCAGAGCCACCCCACCCCCATTCATTTTTTCTATTTAGCAGACACTTTCATCCAAAGTGACGTACAATTGAGAAAGCAGGGTCAGACAGTCCCTGGAGTGACTGGGGCTTAAGGGCCTCACTCAGGGGCCCAACGGTGACATCACTCTGCCAACACTGGGATTCTAACCAGCCACCTTCCGATTACAGGCACAGCATCCTAACCCAATGACCTACACAAAATAAAACTACAGAAGGGATGCAGGCTCGAACCCAGGCCCTTCAGCACAACAATAATGATAATAACCAACGGAGGTTTGGCTCATTCACCCCAAAAAGTCCCTGCGATTTGTCTCCCAACAGGGTGATTTCAAAGGGCCCTGTTCCTGCTTAGGGTCATGCCGCCACCATCACGGCTGACTCACCCCTTTCTCGATGCTGCCCGTCTGGCACAAGGTCCCCTCGGCCGCGGGGATGCTGTTGGTGACGCAGCGGTTACTCTTGCTGAGGCACCAGAGCTCTCTACACACTTCCTAGGAAAGAAGGTGAAAGTGAGTTGGTCAGAAGATATGGTGAGGAGGAGCGCAAATGGGCTGGGATCACGGGCACGTCTCCACGCTGATGAAAGATTACCTCATCGCTTCGTCACAGCGTCCTTGAGAACAAGTACTCTACTTCAATTGCCTAAATAGCATTAAAATAAACACTGGAGGGTTTTGCCGCACACATTAATTCAGGAAAAGGATTAAGCAGAATTCTTATGCAGGTCTTAAAGGGGCTTAGTGCTGTTATCTCTGCCAATCTTTGCATGGAAGGAGCTGCTTCCCCGGGCCTGCATATTCCAGCTTATCCAACACCAACACGGATAACCGCTCGACACCACTGATTACTGTCTGAGGCATCAGCTCTGGGGAATCAAAACAACCTGAAGTCCTTGTTTAGTCAGACTGAATTATATGATTGTGGAGCAAAGAGCTGTAATTAGATTTTAAAGGTGGCTATGCACAGATTCTGGCTGATTGTAGCCAGGGGGGGATGATGGCATTTGGCGTGATCAGTGTAATCAGGTCTGGTACTTGCAGCAGGGACTTAACCAGCACCTTTGACAAGTGTTGATCAACCCCCTAGTTTGCAGGACGGGGCACCAACAATGAGGTTTGCCTATGGTGCCACATGGGCTTTGACTAGTGTCAAATCCAGTGTCTTCACAGTAAAGTACTGGATACAGAGAGGAGGTGATGACAAGCTGGGGGGGTGTGGGGGATGGCGAATAGCCACCGAGAAGACAGCAAGAGAAGGAGATCCCCCCCCCCCGCCCTCTGTGCTGCTGGGCCCAGTAGGATTAAATAAAGTGGTTAACTGGGGAGGCGATCCAGCCTCCCAGCACAGCTGTTTCCAATAAGACCTCCAGGATAGCAGTGGAGCGCCAGGGCCAAGCTGGGTCAGGCCGCGAGGAGCACAGACAGGGTAGCAGCACTGATGAATGTGCGTGGTGGACAGGGGCTGTGGCAGATTCCTTCCTGAGGCCCCCTGCAGCTTGAGCTGTTCTTCCGAGCAACCCTAATGGAATGCTGATTCTGCCCATCAGCCTGTTTGCCTTCTGTTCTGCCGAGGAACCCTAACAGAACACTGATTCTGCCCATTGGCCTTCTGTTCTGCCGAAGAACCTTAATGGAACTTCGACTCTGCCCATTGACCTGTCTGCTTTCTGTTCTACTAAGGAACCCTAACGGAACCTTGACTCTGCCCATCGGCCCATCTGCTTTCTGTTCTGCTGAGAAACCCTAATGGAACTGACTCTGCCCATCAGCCCATCTGCTTTCTGTTCTGCCAAGGAACCCCAACGAAACCCTAATGCTGCCTAGTGGCCCATTTGTTTTTGGTTCTGCTGAGGACCCCTAATGGAACACTTTATTCTGCCCATTGGCCTGTCAGCCTTTTGTTCTGCCGAGGAACCCTAATGGAACCCTAACTCCGTCTATTGGCCCATTTGTTTTCTGTTCTGTTGAGGAACCCTAACGGAATGCTGACTCTGCCTATCGGCCCATCTGCTTACTGTTCTGCCAAGGAACCCTAACAGAAGGCTGACTCTGCCTATCGGCCCATCTGCTTACTGTTCTGCCGAGGAACCCTAACGGAAAAGCTGACCCTGTCCATCAGCCTGTCTGCTTTGTGTTTTGCCGAGGAACCCTAATATAATGCTCACTGTGTCCCATTGGCTTGTCTGCTTTCTGTTCCGCTGTTTTTTTTCTGCTGCTGCATTTGGGATGTGTTTATATGCCCAGTTTTGCCTTCAACAAAACATACAGCGTTTATTTTTAAGGTCTTGCAGGCTGCAGTGGTCTGAGATTTGCCTTAATGAATGTTCCGTGACCTTCTTCTTCACTGATGCTACTATTAGGAGTGTTTTTCATTCTATGTACGATCAAGGAATAATGAAGAATTCTGATTCTGAGACCAGAAGATCAGCTGATGTTTAGTGACAAGTGTCCTACGTTGCCTGCCATTTACATTCCAAAGTTATTTAACATTAATCTTTGATTAATTTTTTCTGGCTACAATATGGCCAACCCATCCCATCTTTCTTACCACAAACTGACCCAAAACATAGTCAGACTCATATCATATATTGTTAGAACCCAATGCTCCTCTGCAATCCACCAGTAAATATTCTTTAAATGCTTTTTATTGCCAGGCTTCATAGCGGGTCAAAGCAGGTGTCATAATTTCTTACAATGGCTGGTATAAACTGTCGTGATCTGTTATGACGTTCTGTTTAGGTGAATGTTTACGGAGGTGTCACATCAAGTACCGCAAGCAAAGATTTGGCCGCTTTGCTTTATACAGCCTCGTGGCTCAGTTCATGCAAGATGTCTTGCACTTCATTAGATATTCTCTGGAAGAGAAGACATCCTCAGGAATGCAGGAGGGCCTCAGAGAGACCCTGGCACGCTAACTTGGCCTGGGATGCTAAACGGCACACTTCAATAACGTTATGGAAAGTTCTGGAACGTGAGAGAGTGGCCTAAAGTTTATGCCTCGAGTCATAGTTTTGAGACCTTGTCCCACTCAGCAATGTCATTACAATAGTATCCAGCTCTCCAAAAGAAAGATCATCTTCAGTGTTTGGCTCAGTTCTGCTCAGACCAACAAGGAAACCGACATGACGAAATGGCCATGAAGACAGGACACCGTGGAGATCACTCTTCTCTGCACTGCAGCGCCCCACAGCCTATGTTTTCTGTCTAGACCTACTGCTTTAACAGTCACAAAAGTCACAGGGTGGGAGTATTTTTAAGTAATACTGTCATTTCATCGTCTCCACGTAAATTATGTCACAGGCGTACAATTTACTCCTCTTGTCACAACAGGATGTTCAGAAATGATGCAAGACTGCTGTTTTATTATTTAGATTCTTCCGATGAGTCTTCCAGTTTCACGGACAAACAAAACATCAAAACAGCTGTATGACTGAATGGTCTGCTAACATCTAAAGGTTGGAATTGAATAGGCTGAAGCGTCACACTCCACCAGCGTGGAGCCATACCTCCCCAATTTTTAAGGACTGAACTGCTTTAATCATTGTTGGGTTTAATGTCATGGTCAATTTCACAGTAACGTGGCAGTCACATTAAAAAAGGAACTGGTCTATGTCTGGATCATTACTAATACATTGGAGATATCCCTTTAAATCAAGTCACATCTGAAACTACCAATAGAATTCCATTTTTGTGCACACTGCAGGCCAAAACATTTCCTAAAATGTAACACAATATGCCACAGTGTTCATCACTGCCTGCGGCTTTACTTGAGCTCTCCAGTTTTTATGGTTTTTCTCATTGTCTGTTTGTTTACCTTGGGTTGTTCAGGGGGGAAAAACCAACACATAGCATGAAAGCAGAAACTCAACTGGTAGAGACCGAAATTCTTCGGTATCTAAATTTACTCATACAAAGCATGTTTCAAGTACCAATAAAACATTCAGCTCTTACTGGGACAAAGCAGACTGTGGGTTTGATCAACAGGAAAGGTCAATCCGCCTAATTTTCTTACTTAGAAGAAGATAATTAATATTCAAAGACTAGTAACTGTATTCTGAATTAATGCACTTACAGACATGCGATGAAAAAAGTCATCTTGTGACATTTTATTGACCTAATTATAAGATTCTTATTGATCTTATTATTAACCTGGATGCTCAGTATGGCTAGAAATGGGTTTTCTTTTTTTCCGAAAGAGCTCAATGTTCCCTTTATCTTTCTCGCTCTTGATTTACTTTAATAAGAGCAGGTTGGATTCCACTTGTTGCTACAGAGTAGGACAGTTGATATGATGTTTGCAGGAGCCTGTCTGACTAGCAGGATAATCCAAATCCCACAGCCAACATCCCTCCGGTTAGTGACTAAAGATATGAAACTCCTTCTTGAAGATTTTTAAAGCTCTTTTTAAGATCCTTTACGTGAACTTTACTGAAAGGTGCTTTGGATCGATTGTTATCTAGATGTTTCATTCTGCTAATTTCTGATCTTAAAGTTCCTGAAATTCCATGACGGTGTTTTGCTTCATCGCAGAGCTGCCCATCGGACCAAAGGAAGCCGCTGGGATTCAGGCTTCTTACCCCGTATTTGCACTGGCGGGAGGAGGCGCCGTACTGGAAACGACACTGCTCGTCTGCGTCGTACACCTGCCCCGGGGCCACTGTGGGGTATAGGAAGTCTCGTTTCAGAGGTTCATTGTCCAGACACGTCCCCCGACCCGAGCTGTCAAAAAAACAAACCCTACAATAGAATAGTTTCTCTTGGCACAGCACGATCGCCCGTCACTCACACGGAAACGGCCCACCAGATCCCACCCACAAAACATGCAGCACTTGTGTCCCGCGGACTTAAACGTACATTGTTTACCTTCACAGTGTGGTGGCAAGACCTACAGGGCCGACAGGAAGGGTATTTCTCAGCCATGGACGTCTTAGGATGCCCATGGCCTAGGCTAGAGTGACCAGATAAGAAGTGTCAGGAGGGACACTTCAGGCTACTTTAGGTTTTGCCAACTTCTTTAAAACTAAAAGGCCCCTGTGCTTTGGCTAAATAGCTTAGCTGTTCTTGTGCTTTGGCTGGTTTGTTTTCTTGATTGAAAGACTCATCCAGATGTTTTATATTAACATTAGTCACATGTGCATGATTATAGGAGACTGACCAATCAGCACATAGCAAGAATTCAGTGAAATCCAGGTACTTTTCATTGAAATGATTTTTACAAATACTGTCCTAGCTCGAAGTGTCCTCCCTAAGATGGGTCACCCTACTTAAGTTCAGTCATCAAAAATGACAAAACTATTACTAATTCTGTTTATTTACAAGTTTATTTAAGATCTATCTGTGTAAAGCATAAATAATGTACGTTTAAAACCGCTGCAAAATCATGAAAAATTCACATTTCAGTCATATCACCAGGTAGAAGCTACCAGGTAGCATCAAAGAAGACAATCCTGATGACCGTGATTGTGATGTGACACCGGAAGTGAAAAGTCACATAGGAAGTGAAAAGTAGCACTGAGCAAGCAACCTTGTCTCTCCTTCATTTGGATTTAAAGTTACCATAACTAACCAGTGTAAGGCACTCAGTCTGCCAGACAAATGCAATGCTTTCCTTTGTGCACTACATATATACCATAAAAACACAAAAAACAAACAAACAAAACATAACTCAAATAAGGAATAAGGAATACAGACAACACTAAAAACATTTAAATAACCCATATAAATAACCCTGGAAGAGAAGTAGAAAGAGCTATGCACTTCCATGGAACGTCCAGATGTGTATAGTACCATATGTGTATGGTACCGAACATCAGAACTATTTGTATTACCTTGAGGAGACCGAGAGCAGGAGAAGCCTGATGGCCATTGGTCAAGCCCGAGAGCTTTGTTTAGTCTGTTTGTCATACAGAAATATGCACACTGACAAAAAAAAAGTTTGCGTTTGAAGCTATTTTGGTGCCATATGAAGGGCCTATATAAAACTGAGAATGAAGTAGAGTGGCTGGCGTGGCTGTCTGCCTATTCACAGCACAGAAGCTGGGCCTTTTTTTCCTCTCTGTACTTTTTTAATGCTGCATGTCACAATCGCTGGCAAGAGCATATTCAACTCCAGTATCATTACCCTAATTGAATAATAAGCAGTTATGTTGGACAGTTCCACATGACAAAAAAGTAAACATTATAATATCAACCATATTTTTCTAAACATAATTTAGACAACTAGGCACAAAATTAATAATTACTTTCTGTTCAAATCTGGAATAAATATGCAGGATATATGACGTGCTACATAATATGTTCAGCAAAGTAAAATGTAGTAAATAACAGTGATTATGTTTAATTAAAATTTTTTAAATCTCCAAATATGAATCTGAATGCACAGAATATGACACGCTGTCCTGCCCTTTCAGCACACATCCTGACTGATATATGGGGGAGATTAGTGGTGTGACAGTTGTTTACAGGCAGAAACACAAAAGGACGCCCTTCTGAAGGACTTGATTCATGTGTGCCCTTGAGTCGTCGATGGCGATTACAAGCCAGGCTACCAATGGAGCACACACATTTGAGACGGAAGGATCCTATTTTTATGCAGAGTGCCCCCGGGATTAGCCGAGACAAGGATCCTTGGCCCCTCACCAGAATATCGGAAGTCCCAGCTAATTGAAAGCTAAATCAAAAGCATAATAAAGGAGAGAACACTTGAGCTTTTGGCTGGGGGGTGGCAGGGGGGGTGCGGGGTGCTGAATGTGGTATTCAATTTCATGTGCTCCATTTTCCTTTTACTCTCTCAGTCGTTCGCTGGGATAATCCTCTTTTACTCATCTTTTCAGAAGGACCCTGCACCAAAGAGACTGAGGCCCTTTTCCCCCTGACTCCAATGCTTGTTCATTTGGAGGGAAAAAAAATGGAAGGATGAAATAGCTGCGTGCACTAAGGTGCCGGGTACCTGAAGGCTGAGCCGACCCGGTTCGAGGACACCATGGTCAGAACCAGAACACATCCCATATATAACGCAGGATGAGAAGTCCATATGTGGACTGGTATTTAAAAATGGGAACCATAAATGACTTTAATGGCAATGACATAAGGGCAGAAAAGAGACTGCTAACTGCAAACTATGCTCGCATTCATCTTCTGTCAACCCCCCCACCCCAGAGCTCCCTAAATGGGGAACCACATTATGAACGGGGGCCAAACACACAGCCAAGACTCGACGGGCGGAAACACGATGAATACCCGAAAAAAATCAGACTGGGATGGAGGGAGAGAGAGAGAGAGAGAGAGGACAGGCATCCTCAAAGACACCCCTCAGCTGAGAAGAACGGCAATTAGACAACAACGGAGGAGACCCATTTCAAAAGCAACTGAAAGGGGCCACGCATTAATTAGACCCAACTGAAACAGTACTAACTGAAACAGTACAGCCCATAAATCAAGATTTTGACCATTGATGGTCATTCACCCACTAGGGGAAGATGCACAACATACGTGCACTTTAACTTTCTTTTAAGTTTCCCGCTGTGCCGTGAAGAGAAAGGAGATTACACTGAGCAATAAATGTGGCAGCGAAAGGCGCTTCACAAGCGAGGCCTTGTGCTCCGGTGGGAAGCCGTGGTGCTTTAATCTCCACTGTTGGCATCGCCGTTTTATTCTCACTGAAGCTTTTCACTGGTAAAAACACCTCTGACAGCCATAACGAGTCATATTGCCATTCAAGGAAGGAGCAGACGGGGCCTGTCGATCCCTTCCCATAGCCACGGTGCTAATTTGCAGATGGTAATATGGTTCCCACAGCTAGGACTCCTTTACTCTGTTAAAGCCGCAATTGTCCAGGCCAGACCTGTGCTGATTCACAAACCCCTGAAGCCAAAGGTGGGGGGGGGGGTTGTAAATATATAAGGGAGAGTGAAATAAAGGCTACTCAAAAGGAGCAAGTTTAGGAAGAGACAACTGTCTCCTGAATGCTGAAGTTCTGAAAGTAATTGGCTCCCACCTCTTAATGCTGTTTGAACCAGAGAGCAAACATAGCAAATATATTTGTTTTGTCGTTAACTTAATCATCCAATGGCAACAATTTTTTCACCATGCGATTTGAATCAATCTCAAACAAGACAGTTCCCAAATGCCATTAGGCTGTTTGTGCCCGTAACGGAGGCTACACTAATCAGTCTTTCCATTATTATTCAACTGCATTTTTTCCCAGCCTGAATCGGGCTTTAAATCACAGTCACAAAACTCTGCTGCTTTCATTAACTCCGGGTGATCTAAATCCCTTGTTAATGGATTTATGCTGAACAGAAAGGTAATCGAGTCAATGCAGGGAAAACGTGAGGGATGAAAAACGTCATAAATGACCCTGGTCATTTAATGGTTAACCAATCGCCGCTGTTTTCACTGTAAAAATGATCATGCTGGTCATGCATCGAACAGTTAGAATATTAGAATAGAATAGAATAGAATATTCCTTTAATGTCCATCAAAGGAATATTCTATTCTATTCTAATATTCTAACCGATGAAAATTGCATTGAATCCAGATTGTGCTCTTGATTATTATAGTTATGCACACATTCCAAACTGTTTTATCATTAAATAATGAAATCAGGAACTGTTTAGACTGTGCTGATAAACTACCAACAGGCAATAGCTTTTGTTTGTAAGTCTTACCTAACAATCCATATGCTGTATTCACTCTATGGTTTGTAATTATCTGTGACGTCTCGTCGGCTCAAAGCTACATCCGATAAATTAATCAACATGAAACAATTAAAGCCAAAATTTAGACATTATGCCATCTTTCAAAAGATGTTTTCTTTCTAATGGATTTAGTGAACTGAACATTCAAGTTCAATATTTTTGGTATAAAACAACAACGACACCTTCAAACCAGGGGTGACACTGAGCATGGTCACCTTCCACCAATAATACGATTGTTCAACTTCAAGAATCACTCAGTGATCTATATGATCTGAAGGGACATCTATAAAGATTCAGACAATATGATTGCTATGTCAGTTTCTTGATTGTTTTGGGATGTTACAGGGAGTGTAACACATTAATCCATGCCAATCTGGGACAGGAGTTAAGCTCAGCGAGGTGGCTGTGGCATGATGTTGGGGCAACTGGAACTCACTGAGCATCTTAAAGGACGCCAGACATGGGGAGTGAAAGCTGCGCGCTAGCAGCAATTACTACCATGACTTTAATTTCCGCAACAGCTTGTTTATATCTCAACTCAGTAAATGCCCAAGAAACATGCAGTAATTCGTTACCAAGGTAATTTCTCATGATACCGGTCTTCAGCAGGCAGATAACTGTTGGCCAAACATCTAAATAATATTTAACTGAATATCACATAAAAAAAAAAACATACGTCAGGTGCAGCACTGAGTATTTCATAGGACATGGAGACCAAGGAAAAGGCTACTACGTGAAAATATCAACGCGTTGACCTGCAGGCATGCCGATGAAAACTGCAATTCACTAAATAACTCCTTTGTACTTGTATAATGACAATAATAGTCTAATTATAGCAGACAACCCACTAAAACAGCAGGGCTCTCAGTCAAGCTGACAGTATGAAAACGTTTCCTATTTTTTTCTGCACAAATGTGAAAAGTATCTTTCCTGGACATGAGCTGACATAAAATATGGCCAGGTATTTTCAACGTGTAGTGCCGGACTGCTCCTCATGCCTAACTTTAGACTGAAAAATATCACATTCTTATGTTATGGCACGTATGACACAATTCTGTAATTTACTGTTTCCATTTCTTTCCCAAGCTATTTAATGTGAAGTGAGAGACAGGAATAGTGACAGGCAGGGCTTCCCATCAGGATGGACCCCGCCGTTTGCCCATTGGTTCCACAGATTATGCACGAGTCCTGATTGGATAAGCAGCTTGTAAAAAACAGACAAAAAAATAGCTTGATCGGCAGATGAATGGATACAGAGGCAACATTGAAAATCTAGCATGTCTGTCCCGGAATTCCACTTACTCCAGGAAGCTGGTTATGTAATCCTTGCTGCAGGCCGACCAGGAGAAAGGGTTGGTATTGGCCGTGATGTGTGCGGCCATCAGCTTGGCGGTCTCATGGCCTTTGGTCCCGCATGAGTTCCCGATCCCATCGTGGTTCATGCCAAAGCTGAAGGGGGAGGGAGGGGAAGGGGGAACAAGGCCAAGGGCCCCTGAGTCTCCACAGGCTTTAAGGACCGAGCAAACGGCAGTAGAGTTCCAGGCCCGTCACGTCCACTCTCTACAAGCTCAGGCAACTCCGGCTCACCGGGACATGGAGTTACCCTTGGTGGAGGAGCATATCTCACATGCTTGGATTGTAAAAGGGAGGAGGGGGCTGTTTTTTTTTGGTTGTGAAACAGCTGTGCTGAGGGGGAAAGGGTCAAAGGTGAGAAGCTGTCTGGATCTCCAGGGAGAACGAGAAAGTTCTAATCACCATCCTGAAGCCCTGCCTGTCATTCACTAATTACGGGTTGAGACGGAACACATCAGAAGTGACAGATGTGTGCGAATGAGGCCCGGCTTCTCTGTAAATCAGGACTTCAGAAGAGGAGAAAGAGCTCTAGGAGCCCCATCGATACAGTAGCCATCTTGTCCGTGTTTCAGGCCCACGGAGAACCTTGAGTGAAAGGAACACTTCCAATGCCCGAAAAAGCAGAAAGAACAATTCCATCTGTATCTCTTCTTCCTTCTGTCAGAATATCATGGTAGAAAATGAACCCACAATAGCCAGCACTTGAAGCTTACTTTTCCATAAATTCCAAAGGCACAAATCAGTTTTAATGTATATAACAAACCCATCCGCATGACACTGTTCCTCTGTGTTTTTCTAAGGTTCACATTTATGACATTTCACTCTACAATAAATAAAGGGAGCCAAAACTTTGATTGACTATTATTATTATTATTACTCTTTTTTGAGCTCCTCTAAAGAGCCAGGAGTATTTTTATAACTGCCCAGCAACAGAAGTAGGCACCAAGTATAATGAAGTCGCCTTTATGATAAAAATACATTTCAAAAAAGGGAAGTTGCCAACTTGGTGAACTCAACAGTTGTTTTGGTCTGTTTTCAAGTAGCTAAACAGAGAGCATTTACATGCTATTGTCCAGAAGCTTCTATGAATAGTTTTGAAATAAGACCACTTAACCATAACTTATTAGTATAGACAAAGTAAAAAATATATACATATATTCCTGACGTGCTAGATTAACTAGAAAATGATGTTAATGTCACTCTGACCAGGCTGTGCCCGGCCAGTTTCTGGGGGCATCGTCTGCAGGCTCATCGCCACTTTGTACGGGATAAGTAGCTAGAATATGCATGGATAACACTAACGTCAATAAATTAACTGTATTCTTCTACATATTCTATGTGTGAGTGGACTTGTCTCCCAGGTTACAGTCGCCCCGGCGACTCACTTGTGCCCGATCTCGTGGGCGATGGTGAACGCGGAGCCCAGGCCAATGTCCTCATTGATGCTGCAGCTCCTCTCTGGCTCACACATTCCAGCCACTGACGCCAAGCCTGAGTGAACAGGAACGTGGCGGATGAGGCTGAGGTGTACCCCCCCCCACCCCCCCCAATACCACCAAGCTGAAGTCTCACCCATAAACCCCCACAGTACTGGTGGAGGTGCTGGCAAAAACACCAGGGGGAGTTTTACATTGCCGGCTAGACATTAATATTTTTTTGAACTACAGATGGGGCTGGAAAATGTCTAGACAAGGGGTTAGATTTATAATTTTATGTCCGGTAACCAGGGACCACCTAGTAATGTGAGCCAGGTCTGAGAATTTAAGTAAACATTTTCTCATAAAAAAAAAAATTAAAAATTAACATACATATATACACACACGCACGCATACATATGCATGTTTGGCTGTTTAAAGAAACACCTGAATTTAGTTTTCATTGTTTAAAAAATGTTTCCAGAAGAAAAATCATTAGTACCATTATAAGCTCGCTGGAAGGACACAGACTCAGGCCGTTTCTGGGGTAAGCTGTTACCATTTACTTTACTTTTATATTCCACCCTTCCCAAAACAGGCAACCCACCATGCACAACAGACTTCAAGCAACCAACCACACCGTTGTTAGAAGAGGCGTTTTCTGCCCTGCGTTAAAAAGCCACATTGGGTGTTTTAAGTATTCAGGTAAACTGGAGTAAATATTTCAGCTGCTTCTGCAGACAGCACATGGATGACAGGCAAGTAGCTACAGTTCTGTGGGGTCTGCCTGCTTGATAGACAGACTGGTCCTGATTAGACATTGGAGCACCAGACAAGGACCATAAACAGATAAGCAGGAGACCAGTGCTGAAGATCTCACAACAGGCTGTTCTGAGGAAGTGGGCTGGGGGGGAAGGAGGCTAGGGGGGGGCAGGTATGTAAGGGAGGACGAGAGGGGGGGTGGGGATGCTTTAAGGTGTTGAACCCTGGAAAAGGAGAGGCTCTCCAAAAAATCCAGGTGTCTCCAGTCATGTTTCTCCAAACCTTGTCATGGCAACCGTGGAATGGAGATCCGTTCTCACAGGCTTGACCTACAGGTAACTGGGTGGGGTTCCCGCTACGGCTATTCGCTAACTGAGGAATGCAGCGCGCTGTGATGTTCCCCGACGTTCCCTGCTGGCCCCAAATCAAAGCGATCCATCTTCCTGCGAACAACTGCGATTTATGTGTAGGGCAGATGCAATATCGCCCATTTAAAAGTGGGCGATGATGGAAAACAGCGACTTCACAAGTTTTTTAAAAGCCGGCAAACAATGCGAGAGCATGTTTTCGGGGAGATGTGTGACTCTGGTGGTACCGTGAACTCAGAGCGGGCTCTTGGTGGGGAAATGGCAGTGTGGTCGCATCTTACGCAAATCCATTTATGAGCTGAAGACGCTAACAAGTGCCGTGGTGAGCCTTAGCATGATACACAGACATTGGCAATAAAAAGAGACAGCAAACCCGCACAGAGCAAGGCTTAGCAGGGCTACTTCAGGAAGCTGGCGCGAGCAACTTCACACCAGCAGGGGGCTCTGCTCTGTCAGGAGAACAAGAGCAGGCTCGTCGACGGGGCCCCAGCACCGGGGAAGCCAGGCCACCTGGAAAAAAGGCGGCAGACCCCCCCCCCCACCCCACTCCCACCCCCAACTAACCCTTAAGGGTCAGAATCGTTGTTGTTTTTATCACAGGGGTCATGGGGGTACTTGGTTTTTTCTCTGATTACCCCCTGACCCCAAAAGGCCGAAGTGCTGACACCGGGAGGGTGATCCCGCCCAGTATGTGGGGTTAAGGTGGGGAGGGGCCAGGAGGCGTGGACGGGGGAGGAAGAAGAGCAGATGCCGGGGCAATTACAGTGGCCTGGGGAATGTGACGAATGCGGTCAGTCTGTCAATCCAGCCGCCTTGCAGCCACCATATTGCCTCTAAGATATACACCATGGCCTGGAGCACCTCTCCCAAGATGAGCAGAGACCTGGATGTGGCCTGCAGCCCATATCTTTCCTTCTCTCACCTTCTTGCATTCTCCCCCCCCCCCCCCCCCACGTGTGAAAACCCCCCCCCCCCCCCCCCCCACCCCCCCAAAGCCTGGGGTTTCTGAGGCAGGGGGTGGGGAACTGGCATGTCTGGGCCCTAGCGGTGCCAGGTGAGGCCCTGCTGCCCCAAAAGGAGGCTGAAAGAGCCCCCAACCCCCCACTAGTACAGGAAGGCATCAGCTGTGAGCTGTTTTCTGCAGGTGGATAAATATCAGCCGTAACCGGAGAAAGACACGCTAAGTGGGGGCAGCCAGCAGTGGCCTGCGGCCCGAGCAGATCTCAGAGCTTACAGGAGAATTCCATTCGCTTCACCACCGTCACCCAAGGCTCCCGTATCGACCAGGGAGATGCGCCTAAAACAGAGAGCCTGACAGGCCGAGCTCCTGAGAATCTGACACATTCACCTCATCCAGACTCACTCCTTATCAGTTTGCACTGGGAATCTAAGTGGTGGACATTTAAAATATGGAAAAAAAATCACAAGCCTCTTTCTGAGTTTCATCATCAAAAAGCTCCAACGAGTGTGCTCCGGTCTTCAGGATGTAACTGATACGTTCAGTATGGTTTTGTATTCCAATCCAAGCACATAAACACTCATTAAATGTCACTTCATTGTAAATTGCACACTATTTATGGATATTTATGATTATTGTTTAAAGTTTAATGTTTTGTTTCCTGTTTCAGTCTTGAAGCTTGGCAGCCAAACATTTCACTGCACATTACACTGAGTATAATGGTTTATGTGACAAATAAAATATGATCAACTGATAAATAAATACAAGTTAAACATAAGTTAAAGAATCTGAGGTCACTCACCCAGCGTTCCACACGGTTTGTTCTTATACGTGCAGATATCGTACCTACAAGAAGGAGAAGAGACGTCTCTGTAAGAACATATAACATCACTAAGAAGCTTTCAAATTATTAAAGTGAAATGAAACCGTGTGCTGCTGTATCCTGGTACTGCTACAAGTTTGTCATGTAAATGGCAAACAATGAACTGCCTGATGGTTCATTCCCCAGACAATACAAAAGTAATTTGAACACATGTCAAGAGAATGGAAGAGGAGCTCTTGAGAGAAAAGGGAGGGAAAAAAACTACATACCAGTTTCTGTAGAACTGGCCTAGAGACAGGGATAAAATCAGGAGGGAAACTCAGGAAGAGATCTGACTGTGTGCCAGAGTCGAGGCTAGGCTAGCCAGCAGAGCTGTGGAGGTGCTAGCCAAGGCTAGTCGGCAGGGCCGAGGCGATGCTTATGCCAAGCCTAGCCGGCAGATCGGGGTGGCGTGTTAGCCAAGGCTAGTCGGCAGAGAGCCAAGGTGGTGCACTACCCAAGGCTAGCGAGCAGAGCTGGGGAGGTGCTAGCCAAGGCTAGCCAGCAGAGTTGGGGCAGTGTTAGCCGAGGCTAGCCAGCAGAGTCGAGATGGCGTTAGCCAATGCTCGCTAGCAGATACTGCTACAGGTGCCTCACTTTAATAAGTCTATCTGGCGCAACCTGCCAACATGAGGCCCGATTCACTTTACGGAGCTAAAGGCCGGGGCATGGAGCACAGGGTGATTAATCAAAACTCCCCCGTAGGGATTTACAGTGACCGTACGTGGTAGAATCGTATGCCAAGCTCAGTTTTAATTTTTATTCACCCATAAAGGCGGATTGGAAGCAGATCCACCAGGAATATGTCTGAGGAGCCGCGTGGTCCTCGCCGGAGAACTGTAATGTATTTTTAATCGTGGACCTCAACGAGCCGGCATAAACGAGCGCCTTTGGAGAGCTGTGTCCCATCTGCATTTTTACGCTCTCTCTCATTCACGTTACTTCTTCAGCTAGGAAAGGGGGTAAAAAAAAGTTCATGAATTGAAGCATTACGCAGCGCATTCCGAGACTCGGATTTTTTCACAGGACAGCCAGATTTTAAATTTTTATTTTTTTAATACTTGGACCCGTCGCTCAACTGCATTTAAGAAAAAAGAGATGGACTTGGAGAGAGAGAAAGCGAAGAGGGGGGAAAGAGGAATGAAGATTCATAGCCCACAAGAGAACCGTCCCACATAAAAGAGCAGCGCTCTGGGTCGGCAGAGGAAAGACCAGATCGACACTTGTGTCAGCGTGCACCGCGCCGTGAGACGATGCAGGGCGCTTACGTGCGTCACCGGCACTGAGACATCATTAATATCAGGATTGGGCGCCTGCTCAAGGTAACCTTATTTCTGGCTCTGAGAGGCTTTTGTTAGATGCCGGAGGGGGTTCGGAATGCCCCAGGCCAGCGGAGGTGCCCTGAAGGGGCTGGACAGGAAGCCAGCAGCCGCCGGGAGTGCCCCACTATCTTGACAACACGCATGGTTATTCCCCATGTCATGAAGGCATTCTGCGGCTGTCAAAAGCTCTCTATCAGCAGGTGCCTGGAAGCTTTGCTATCTTCTCAGCCCAAAACAGGATTTTTGACATCCCTTTGAAGAAAAATAGGGCCCCCTGACAGTGACCCAGGTTAATGGAGGAGCTGAACCAGTCTGTGTTTTGCATTATAGGTCCTATTAAGAAACCAAAACTGATCTTTGTTATTGGTATTATTATTATTGCTTTTTCTACCTGTGGAAAAATAATTTATTGTCGCAGAATAGGTTGCCATAAATATTTCTATAAGTGAAGCAGCACTCCAGGGTTGGGGGTTCGAATGTTTGTGTGGGCTTCGTCCAGATACTCTGGTTTCCTCCCAGAGACATAATGTTTTCGGTGGACTGGTTTCGCTATATCGCTGTAGACCGTATGTGCCCTGCACCCCGCACTTCCTGGGATGGGATCCAGGCTCAGTGTGACCCTGTGCTGGGTAAGCAGTTATGGAAAATAGATGGATGCATTTGTACAGCTTTTAGGTTTTGTCCATTTAATCCCCATCAGTTCCAAAGCAGTCTAATGGTCTATAAAGAATATTACAGTGATATGCCCAATCCATATCAGGTGCGAGGTCAGCCTACTGCACATGGTAACATAAGTAGATGCAAATAGAGAGAAGGAAAGAAAAGGCTTTGAAGAACATAAAATATGAGCAGCTCCCAGCCCTGACTTATGGAGACCTTTCTGCTGCTCGCTTTATATGTAATCAATCAATCAGTGGAGAGATACTGAGGGTTTGTGTGCTTTCAAAATGCATCATCTATATCCCCTAAAAATGGGTAATCAAATCATCTCCAGGCTTTTAACTTAGAAAAAAAAAACCAAGGACAGAGAAAATTACATTTAGGAACCTGGCTGAGGTCCAGAAGTGAGACACAGAGTCTGATATCTTACTGGGCTCTTCGTCCAAGATCTAGTTATTTTTATCTAGTTATTTCAGTTTCAGGCTTGGGGCTTTGCAGTTTGCTCCTGCTCTGTGAGTTTGGATTTTGCATGTTCTTCTATATGGGGTCCTCCTGCAGTCCAAAAAGTAGACAGAATGACCTGGAGCTCTTGGGACCAGGTAGTTTGGTGGTCAAAGACCCACCAGCTCTTTACATCCTGTAATCAGAGTGCTTAAGTCAAACTATTCCCACAAAGCATCCAGCTACAGATACTGCTAATCCAAGAAATACTTCCATGCAGCTTAGTCATCCAATGTAAGAACATTAGCTATGTAAACAAATTCACCTAAAATGTAGCAAGGGTGCTCATCGCTGGTGCTCGTGTTGGAAAATCTATCTACTTCAAGAAACAGTTGGTTACTCCTTTGCTTTATGACGTGGATGTTATACTGAAAAAATAAAATGACCACCCCTGTTTTACAGAACCCAGTGTTTTTTATGTGCAGCCTTTTAACAAAATATGAACAATTTTCAACAAAAATACTTCAGTTGAACCTCCAGCATTGAGGGTTCGAATTCCACCCCTGCTCTAGGTGTGTGTGGGGTTTGCCTATTCTTAACATTTCATTTGGGTTTCCTTCAAGCCACTTAATTGCCTGTGGTGTGTGATTGCATGACCATGTGACCATGAGGGTGTTTGTGTCCTGCTGTGGACTGCCATCTTGTGCATGCTGTTCCCCTGCCTTATGCTCTGTGCTGCCTAGAACCGGCTTCAGGCCTTACCTGCGTTGGATGTTGCCTGTGAGAACACCGCTGTCCATGCGGTTCTACTCTCTGGGTGTTAACAACGTCACAGTTTTACTGATCTGCTCTAGTTTGGACTCCAGCAACATCAAAGGACCTGGATGACCTCAACTGCTGAACAAGAAGGTTCTAAAGATTAACTTCTGAACCTGTCTTACCCCAGGCCCGATGTATCACAAGCTTCTGCCATCTGAGTAAACAGGTTAATATTTCTTCTCGCTGTGCAAATTCAAGGCTGTCTCATCCATACTACTTATTTCTGAGCCATTATTTTAGAATTCCAGCAATACTTGGAATGTAATTCTTTGCACTGTTACTATTTATTAGTATTGAAATGTATTTTCAATGTGTGTTGTGGTTCTACTGTAAACCTGCAGTTTCCTTCAGGATTAATAAAGCATCCATCTATCTGTCCATCTATGTTTCTTTCTCTCTGTCTTTGTATCTATCTTTCTATCTGTGGTTACAATGGAACTTGACGACTCTCTAGCCTGACTCAAGTCTCCTTGAAAACTTATACAGAGCAGTACAGACACATGTTTTTGCCAGAGCACAAACCAACTGGTAATTAAGAACACAACGGCTAGTTGTTTACTACAGGACTTATGTTGGCTTCGCTCCACCTATTTTGAAGCAATATTTCATGTAGAGCCGAAGAGAACGCTGGCATCAGCCTTTAAGCATTGTGTTTCTGTCCGGAATTGAATCCAACTACTCCACACACCATCACTGTTGGCCACGGCGTAGAAACCCACTAAACAAGTGTAAAGAAAACCAGATTGGGACGAATTACAGAAGCTTATACAGAATTCACCATCCGCCACTTGACACAGAATATTATGGAAACTCAACTGGACCATTCTGCTCTGTCAGTTCCAATACGTGGACCCTTTTGTTCAAACACGCAAGTGGCAGGCTTCAGCACACAGCAATCCAAGCTCAGTAAAAACAGAGGTTAGATGTTCTATCATGACACAGTGACTGGAATCAGATGCCGACACGACCTCAGCATGTTGAGGTCACACTGAAACGCAGGAGTCATCATGAAACTGACAGAGCGTATCACCCCAACCACTTTAACGAGAAAACTCAGCGACATCTGACGTTATGTCATACAGTCACACATGTGTAGATACACTAGTTTTCCAAGTTGAAATGTGAATTCTCTTAGTAATGGTTAGAAAAAGCACAATGCCAACTTCATAATTTTATCTTACATATTCAGATGTTGGTCACTTAAGATTCCAGATTTAAGACTTGGTCTCTTTAGCTTGGCTAGCTGTCAAAGACCATTTAATGTCGTTTAACATTTTAAAACTATAGGGGAATCAATGTCATATACTTTGATGATGCTTCAATGGTACTAACGACACACTTTTAAAGTTTCCAGAATGCTGAATCCAGACATTGTTTATATTCATTATCCCGATGGATCTGCTCATTAAATGCTAACAAGATTAAAGTACCTTCCAAGGCGAAATCAAAAAACAGATATAGTTTTGTATTCAGCAAGTAAAAAGCAAAGTCTAGGTCAAGGCCATTTTATAAGACATCCATCCTTGAGACATGTCTCATCTAGGAAAATGCTTATACTTGTGAGTTTCTTTCAAAGCAGCTAAGCCATTTCAATTATGATGCAGCATTTCAGGTACTGAAATAACAGTGTTTTTCTTACTGGTTACCAGCTAAAAAGGACATATACTCTGATGGGTCAAAACATTATGACCACTCCCATATGAAAAGAATAATGTTCACTATCTTATATACAGTATACATGGTGTGTGCTAGGTTCTGGGATAAATTAGATGGTAAGCTAACATTTGGTACTTAAAGATCACATGTTCAATGTAGAAGAGACGGGTCAGGGAAATGATCTGAATGACTTTGACAAGGCCCAAATCATGATGGCCAGATGAATGAGTCAGAGCATCTCTGACACGGCCAGGTTTGTGGAGCATTCATGGTCATCCATGGTATTCTACTGAGAGTGATCTGAGGAGGGAAAAACCACGACCCACCGACAGGGTGATGGGCTAGGGTTAGGGTTAGGGTTAGTGGGATATGAATGAAGGCTATCCAGTGTGGCACACACTGTGCATTGAGCCCTGCTGTGTATGGGGTTTTTTAAACGCAGGCCAATTAAGAGTACTCGTGTTGATTCCTGTTCACTGGCAAAAGTACCTACAATGGGCACAAAAGCATTAGAACTGGACCATAGCTCAATGGAAAATGGTTGCCTGGGCCAATGAATGTTGGATTACCATCAAAAATGTCCAAGACCTTGACATGTGTTATTCACGACACGTGGGAGTGGTCATAATATTTTGGCTCATCTGAGTATATCAAGCAGATCATGCTTGCCTACTTCATAAGTCATAAATGCATGCATATGGAAGATGATTTGAGACCTATTGACACCACACTCTAGCAAATGCAACAAAAAAGCTAAACTTCATGAAGATAGTACTTCATGTCCCCACCAGATCCACCAACGTTGAAACAAAAAATCCAAATTTAGTGATCCAACAGGAGAATACCACAGAAAAAACAACCTATATTTAAACCCAAAGTAAAATAACCACAAACAATACCATGGCCCTTCTGCAGGACATCTCAAGAACGTGACCATGCATCAAATAAGACATGAAGTCCCACGCTTCCAACACCTACCTGGTGATGAGAACCGCATTGTCGTGATGAGCAATCCCGTTCTCTGGAATGCTGTTCCCATCTCCCTGATGTGACAGGATAGACTTCTGCCACTTGCAAAAACTGTCCAGGGACTTGTCCGCGTGATGGTTGATCTCCAGGTTGGGCTACAACACAGAACCCAGGCTCAGTCGAAATGAGGCTCCTCCATGATCAGCATCACCTGAACTTTACATTGAAAAACACCCATCACAAAGCAACTAGCATCTGTTGTCATACTCAAATCTCATCCATTCATCTCACCCATCTTCCAACCGGCTATTATACACAAGGGGTGCCAGTTCATCGCAAGACACACACTCACAGAACAGGAAATTCCGCAATACCAAATGAACAAAATGCCTGTTTTTGTATTGGAGTAGGAACCCCAGATGACATGGGAAGAACATGCAAATGGCTCACTTAATAAGTAGAGCCCATACGTGAACCGCCAACCCTGGAGGCGTAAGGCAGGGTGCTACCTAATGAGCCACCATACTTCACTTCGTTTAACTCATGCCAACCAAATAAAATATTTACAGTCCTGTAACCAGCATATACAGTTGTTTATAGCTAGAGCTGCAACCAGCAAACAGAACTGCTAATTAAAGTACATGAATTATTCAATCTGTACAAGGATCCCCTTAATCTACACATATTTCAGACAAAACTAAGCTCCTAAAGGCCTTTAATTCCCCCACAGAAGTTGCACTCTGATTCACATTAAAAGCAAAGTTTTCAAAATGCCCAGAACTTCCAACCAATGCTCTGGGAAAAACCTGGAAGCACTACCTACACTAAACACGTCTATTATGTCTGTTTGATATACAGTCGTCCCTCGCCATTTCGCGCTTCGACTTTCGCGGCTTCACTCTATCGCGGTTTTTTCAAATACATTTATTCATTAAAAAGTTGATAGACAGTGAAAATGATACAGCGCGCTTGGTTGTCTGGGTCAATTATACACCTCTGTATTACAATTAAAATTAAAATTACTGTACGTATGGACTGTAAACCTATGTATTCGAGCACCCCCGCAAATTCAACAACGCCAGGTGCAGCCGAATAATAAAGAAATAAATAATCCTGCTTCGCGGAAATTCATTTAACGCGGTAGAGTCTGGAACGGATTAACCGCGATAAACGAGGGACGACTGTATACAAATATCTGCTTTCAGCAAACTGCCTTTCACTTCAGCAACCTCTGCTATGGCGAGTGGTTGACATTGCCCTATAGATAACAGCCAGTTCGCACTACGTTCCACTTTAAAGAGAAGGTCCCCGCAATGGAAAGCTCAGTTGGCTTCCGTCCTGTGAAAAAATGACATGATCCCTGAAACACACAAAAAAAAAAACAGGTACTAGAATCCAATCTCTGTTTCTTCCATTAAAGAAAAGGGAAAAAAAGATCTTAAAGCTAAACTTCCCTCAGGGACAGTGTCGGAGCACATCTCTATTTGAGTTCATTTGATCTTTCAGGGCGGTAGCCATACGGCAGCGTCCTCGCCAATCGAATAAAACAGTCCCCTGGCCTCGTACGGCCAGCCTCTCACTGCTTAAAATAGGCTCCCTGCACCCCCCCCCACCCTCTTAAACTCTTCGAGCAAACGGTCGGCCATTGTTTTTGTGAGCTTTCCAAGCCAGACGGCACATGAGTTCACGTGACCCACAGCCGGTACGAGGATCCGGGCGGCCCAGACGGCGAGACCGACAGTTACGTCAACAATGTCTATGTCGGCCTGCAAGCCACTTTATACATGCAGGTGTGCTGCGATTATTTCAAATTTTTTTTTGGCTGGATACAAGTTTTGCTCGTTAAAAACATGGTCTGGAATGAGGGAGATCAAACCGAAGCTTTTTTTGACCTCCAAAGAGATCCCAACAACTTCTCTCTGTGCCGGAAGAGGAATTTCCTCCACTAAGGCAATACACAATGCACAATACACAATACACAATGCACATCTACATTTATTTTGCACACTAAATGTATATCTTCGCAGTAATGTTATTTTTTTTAATCCAGTGATGGAGTTTTTGCATTTTTGTACATATATATTTTTGTAATTTGGTGTCTACCCTTATGCCTACTTCACGTCTATGTGTCTCTATCATTTACATAAATGGCTACTGCAACACAAACATTTCCTCTTGGGGATAAACAGAGTAATTTGAACCTGAATATGAATTTCCGCATAAAAAAGCAAAAAGTGCTTGTGAAGTCAGTGCTACTCATCACAGCTGAAATGCAATCGGACACGCCTGGAAACATTTACATTACATTTTTCAGCTATTAGTTAAGTTCTCCCCAAGCGAGCTCGATGGGCCGAATGGCCTCCTCTCGTTTGTATAGTTCTTATGTTCTTATGTTCTTATAGGAAATTGCACTTGTCTACACACATAATTATAGTTATCAGAAATATAATAACTGCTCTGCTACACACGAGAGCATGGGGACGACTTTCAACACTCGCAGAAATGAAAGTAAGTACATCATCGATGAAAAGCCATCGGGCACAACAAAGGACGGCCTCACCTGGTCCTCCGTCAGGACGATGAGTCGAGTCACAACAATGTTCACAACGTTTCCTAGGCTGGCATCACGGTAAAGTTTGGCAACCTGACCTCCAGAAAAGAAAAAAACACACAAAGTCAGACAAATGGTGTCGCCGCGTGGGCAGCACGACACGCTCATGGCAGACTGGCCTCCACGTGACGATCTAGAAGCAGCCTCGGCTACTGCATTTTACATTGCTAGACACTTTGCTTCCTATGTGATTCCTCCCAAAATCAGTGCAAGTACTCTTTCAGTCTCACTTCAGACATAAACTGTTACAAACAAAACTATAAAATCTTAAATCAACACAAAAAACCATCAAAGTTAAAAGTGGGGTTTGATACACGTGGAATTTTGGGACCGTATAATCGGTTCTGTTACAAGACTGAGATCTGAAAATGACACCAGTTATCAGTCATGACGTCAACGCATCCTGGTGAAAACTGGGATCAAACTTACAATGTTCATCACCGAGAGGATGTAGTGCTCGATGTCCTTGCGGCCATGGTACCCAACCATCATCTTGTCGGCCACCACGAGGGTCTCGACGAAACGCTCTGAGCTGATGGACCGCTTCTGCCGGTGGACACCACCCGCGCTGCTGTTAATCGGCAGGGGGGGTGGAGGGGCAGATTGCGGGTCCCTAGGCCAACAGGGGGCCCCGCTTCTTGTGAGGTCTGTATGGGGGGAACTATGCTGTGATTCAATCAAGCCAATTTAATTACCATTACAATCACATTAAGTGTGATCTATTCTAAACAGTGTCAGTCTGCATTACCATGGTCCAAACTCTAGCTATCTACCCCTGAGTTATATGTGTAAGCACACAGGCTGTATAGTTCAGTTTTTTAACTGTCTATCCACCTTTAATCACATTTACTAGATTTTGTTTGTAAAGCAGGTCACTGTAACTGCACCTTTCAAAAAAACCAAAGGATAGGGTATGATATTTTGCTTCTAATCTTCCTCTCCTAGGAAAGCCCAGAGGAGTAGGGGTACTCCGGTGAAATCCTGCATCTGCATGCGACTTGTTGCGCAAAAAAAAAGGGAAACCAGTTGCCACACGTCGCAGGTTACGATCAAACTATCATCCACACTAGGACATCCAGGTTAATCTCCACCTCTGTCCTCCTGGGGTTTTCCCCACTACAGGTCACACTAGAAGCCTTGTTCATTTTTCCCTTGTGCTTCTAAAAATCTCAAAATCACTCATTTTCTAATACGGCAAAAATGAGAAAAAGTGCTGGCAAGTGTGCTAAAATGCTAAAATTGCAAATGCATAAGATCCAGTATGGCGACGTGAGTGTGACTCTGACATGAAAGCTGTAGCTATTTCCACTCTCTAGATGTGCCAGAAACCAATATTTCCTCATCTTCTACGTGTAGTGGTTCCTTGACGTCAGTTGACCAGATGGCCAGGACGGTAATCCACCAACCTGAAACACCACAACTGAGTTCGTCGCTGAGGTCTTGTGGCCGAGGGATGGAAGACTTCTTATAAATAACATGCAGTTGTCCTTTTCGGAGGTTAAAATTAATGGAATTTTTGGAGGATATATTCATTAGTGGCTCAATTAAATATTGCTCTTCCTCTGTTGTGATAACACCATGCTTGTTGGAAAAGAAAAACATTGAGAGAGGGGTTATGGAGCATCAGAGCAACATTTTCATGTATTTGCAATTCCATCCAAGGTCTTCGCAGAGACAAAGAACTGAATATGACCCACCACCCAAAGGGATGGTAACTGATGAATGTATCTAATACCTGGGCTGCATGTGCAGCACTAATGTATAACACTAATTTATCATTGCGTTTGTTAGCTAATAAAATGGCATTACGTTCCAGCACAATTAAGTAAGTTCTATGTATGTGTAAGACCTTGGATGGGCAAAACTGTTATCCATTAGACCAGTATTTTCATCCTAGTCACAGAATACTGCAGCTACATTCATCACATTTGTCTGAGGTCACATGACGCGCAGTTCATCGCAGTACAGAGGCCATTTTGTTTGGTTCTGTTCCAAACTGTTCATAACAATTAACTGATAACTGTTTGTTACAGCGGCAGCTTCTGTAATTCAAAAAGCGGCTTTTGCTTGTAAAAGATTCTGACCACACACAAACACGGGTCAATTCCGAGCTAATATTAAAAATGCCGCATCATAATTCAAAACTATTAAAGCTAAAGTCGATTGCAAAAACATCCCACGATGCAAAGCAATTTAATCATTAAAGCTAAAACAGTCAATTATAAGTGAACAAATAGCATAGTTACTGGGACAGAGACCAAAATACACAACTCTGTGCCCTGATACTCAGTTAGCAATAAAAGTTAGTATTTGTTTATGAAAAAATGCTGGCATATTTTCAGCTGGTAAACCCACAATAAAAACACTTAAAGCAGTTGATATTGTTAAACAAGTACACATAAAAACACTTAATGCATTTACAGCACAAAATATGCACATTTGTTTTAGATATGTCTTGCATTTTAAAAGACAATACATACAGCTGGATACACTTCCAAGCTTTTTTTTTATTATTTCTGCTGCATTTCTCAGACTGCTAGCTTGTGGTGCAGGAAAACAATAGTAAAGCAAGTTCTGTTTTTCTGTATTATTGCAGTTGGCAGGACAATAATAGGCCATTTCACTGTTTTGGGTACTCAAAGAAAAAGGACTCGGTTTTATGGGTGCGTTAAATTCTTCAGTAAATGTGGCAAAGCTGGCCAGTCAGAATGTCTCAGAGCATAACTATCTAGAGGATTTATGCCTCCGAGTATTCGCATTAGTTAAATAACAGCCCCCAACTATAGTGCATTATCCTTGCAGAAAAGCACTTTCTTTACTGACACTTAGCTCCCTAGAATTTCTGGAATTTGTCCCCCAGTTAGTGTTTTTCATGGACACGATTGTGTTGTTGAGGTCTATAGGAACTCTTAGATCTAAAAATCTAAGCTTCATATCTATGTTAAATAGCATCCTTGCTTAATTCTAAAACCATTTAAGCCCAGAATCAGTAGTAAATGCAAGAAAAGTAGGGATTCCTTTCTCTTGGAGATCCCCCATTCACAGTGAATGGGACAGCAGGTGTGCCGCCCACCGCCCCCCAGTGACGCCGTCAGGCAGCGCCGAGAGCCATATGCAAATTAGCCACGTGCCACTGGCGAGGAAGAGCCTCTCGTCTTTCAGTTCCACGAGCCGCCCGATCGCTTGGCGCCTTTTCTCCTCGCTAACCCGCTGTGCTGACGCCCTTCTACACGACCCCAAGGCCCAGGGCGGCCAAGGCAGCACGACAGAACCGGAGCTGAAGCAGCGATACCGTTAAAGGACGGATGAACACAGCCTCAGCAGCTCGCCTCTGCTGCACTTCCCACAGGTCTGTCAGAAGTTAAACTGTACTCACCAGGCCATTACAGTTGCTTAATGCCACCTTCGTAGTTCTGTACTGATCCTGCAGATATCCAACATAATGGCAATTATCAACATATCCATGCCGCCACTCTGCTCCATCTTTGCCCCAGTATTCTACAGTAAAATGTTTTGACACCAAGTAGTGATTGAGCGTTAGGTTCAAATGAAAGTGCCTTCCGTAGGCTGAGAGTCTGTAGTACAGCCGCGATTCGGGCAGCTCTGGGCTCACCGGCTCCAGCCCTCTTCTCTGCCGTGCCGACTCCAAGTGTCTCACAGTGTAGCTTACAAACTCGCTGTTCTCATTCACTTGCACAGGGACCACCAGCTGGTAATGCTCAAGGTAGGAAAGGTACTCCTCTTCGTTCCCCCGGCGCCGGCCCCCATGGGGCAGCAGGTGAGAAAGCCGGCCAGAGAGGGAGCGGGTGAAATAGCCAGCCAGAGAAGAAAAAAGGGAAAAGTCATTTACGTTGAATAAGGAGCACAAATGCCAGAAGGAAGAAATTTAGTTAGAGTTTCCCTAAGATCTCATGTGGTCAAGCAGTGGTCACTTGTAAATTGAAAAGTTTACATTTCCTGATCAACACACAGTATAAGATGTGTGGAGAACAAAAGAATGAGTGATATTACGCATGAAAAAGAGGACTGACTTATATGAGAGGTAATCACATTATACTAGTATCCAAAGAGTCATAAGTTACACAGGGTCAACAGCCGCACCTTGTTGAGGTTGAGGCTGTGTTCTGCTTTTTTGTCATTTACAGCAGTGTTCCTTCACCCATTCCTCGAGGACCCCCAGCGGTCCACGTTTTTGTTTCACCCGAGCTCCCTGCCATATTTTTGCTATCATTTTTTTGAGGGAGGAAAAATATGGACTATCTAAGGGTCCCCGAGGACTGATTTGAGAAACACTGGTTTACAGTATTACTGAGAAACATGCTTAATTAAGGAACACTAGAACTCATTCTTTAATTAAGAGGCTGGGGTGTCGCCCCAACAAGCAGAACTATCACACCAGCGCCACTGAAAGCTACTTCCCCCTGCGCATGCAGGCACCCCTTCAGCAGCTTGATTTCACTAATTGCCATCAGGAATAACTGAGAGGATCAGAGTGAAAACGCCACAAAGGTACTGCCCTCTAAAGACCGAGTTTGAGAGCGCAGCCCCAAGGATGGAGAACCGCTTCCATGGTTTGTGTCGAACCTGTCTCACTGCTGGCCACATTCAAATTACAGTCCTTCACAATGATGGCGATGATGCCGGCAAACACTGTAATTATTTCAGCCTCTAACATAAGGCAAAATCCAGGCGATCTAAAAATTCCACATCTTAAAAATGGCCAGACTACTAATATAAGAAAAAAAAAAACATCAGAAATAACAAGGGTGATCAAAGTATATCCATAACAAGAAAAGTTATACAAAGTCAGTGTCCTTGAAAAGAGCCTACCTTGGGAACTGTGTGGCATTTTGTTGAAGCTTTGAAATGTAGAAGCAGCCATGGCAAGGCTCAATATCCAAGTCAGCGTCTTCCACAAAATTTCCATAATTTAGAGAAGATCTAACATGGAGCTGGTGTTGGGGGTTACAGTTGGGCTATAAAGATCTGCTCAATCCAATATCTTGCCATATCAAGTCCATGGTCTATGAATTAAATAGCTTTTTTCCCCCTCAAACTGTTGATACAGGTTTTATTTTTATTTTTTTTTGACAGTGGCGGCTTATAGTTTCTACTCGCATCTGCGCCCACTCTCATCTCATCCAAGCAAGATGCAGGAATCCATTGGTGGATCACTTCAAGTAATTCCGGAGCAGCAGCTCTATACTGAAGGTGAATCCTGAACAATCCATCTGTGTACCTGGCAGTAAACATTAATCACTTCAGACATCGCGACTGCAAAAATCACGTGATCAGAAGACATTTTTAGAATAAAGTAAACGTGTGTTAGACAAAAATAAAGCGAGTATCAAGAGATCAACATTGTTACTTTGCTAAACTACAGTGGCGATACAAATCCTGTTGGGCAGTCTGAAAGTACTCAATGCCTCATTGTCTTCCTAAATCGGGGTGAAGAGGCAGTGTTTTTGGATATCTGTGTTGCTGGGCAGCTTTCCGAGATTCAAGTACTAGTCAAAATAAATTGATGAAGCAAAAGAAGAAGCTCGCGCTGCAATTTCCGCGAGCGTCTCGAGGCGACGCAACATCTGGCGCTAACAGATTATTTCATTGAGGGATCATTTTACTGCGCTGCAGACGCCAAGCCAGAACTGAAAAGCAAACTGCCATTCTGCAAGCCGATAGCTTACTTACATCCACAGCCTCTGCGTATAAACGTGGAGAATTAAGAGAAATATGGAGGCACAGTATCAGTGCAAAAGACCAAATTTGTTTCTGCTCTGAAACCTGGTTATTAACACAATACTATAATTGGCTATCTAATATTAATTACTCTGATTTTATCATTACCATTGATCAGTGTGCACCATGGAACAGCAATCTAATGCGCCCATTTAATATGACCATTATAACAGTATTTCAATCGATGTTTAATTGCACGCAACAGCAAATACCGTTTTTATATTAGTATAATTTTTAAGTACCTGGTCTCGTTTTACTACAGCAAACTGCAAAACTTGCAGGGCTTCTCTCAACACTTCTAATGTACATGACAAACCACAGCGTCTCCCAAGACGGGGACGTCTGCCAATAACTCGAATAAGAAATGCATGCGTTTCACATACCGCAAGCAAAGGTTTTTAAATCCTTGTAAAGTTGTCCAGTAATTCGCGTGTCCTCCTGAAGCCAGTCATCTAATTAAACAAGCAGCGATGAGATACGATCGGGACAATCGGTAACTGAGTTATGCATGGGTACCACTTGTTTGCACAAACAAAATCATTGAGATGTCATACATGAAAATAGTCAGATATATTGGAACACAATCCAGAACATGCAATCCGTTATACACTCCCCCCCCCCTCCAAAAAAAAATTCTGAACTATATACGGCCTATAGATTGTCCGCGATGTGCAATGTTTGCAATGAAAATGTAGGAAGTTTGGTGCGTTTTAAATGAACTTTTCATAAAACGTCATGCTTGGAATTTCCTGGCAAGACAACGGAGCCAGAACTATCATCAGATCCCTGCTGGAGCACCTCTGCAGACTGCCTTGTGCTGATGGGATGCATATCCTTCAAGTAGTAGGGCTGAACTTTTTTTTGTCTGGGTTAGTAAAGTTAACATCCAGCAGCACAACCCCAGACAGCACCGCTAAATCTATTTGGCTAAAACGCGTGTGACCCAGACAGTTGGCAAGCAGCTCGAATGCATTACACCGGCGGCTCAAATAAAAACAAGCGTCTCTCCGCTAAAACGATGTGCATTGAAATGGGGGCTAGGGTTTTTTAAAATCAAAACTCAGACAATCATTCCAAAACAAATATTAACTTTACATAACATTTCCCCGCCTTGAGTACCCAAAATAGTTATACATATATTAAGGTGCCAGGTATGCATTTTTACCATACAAAGGAAGGAATCGTAATAAACTTAAAAAGTCAATGCGTAAACTGTATTCTAAATCTGACGAAAACTGCAACACTTTTAACCAAATTTTAACCGGGCACAAGAGTTCGCCGGACCTGTACGAGTGTTGCGGTGAGGACAAGTTGGGAAGCTGCCTTCACTTTCATTTCAAATATAACTGTACATCAGTGATTTAAAAATATATATGTGCATTTTGCATAAATGTTGTCCACATTTCTTCCATGTTCTACACATTTTTTCTAAAAACACATTTACGCTATTTAATCATAAATGCATAACATTACAAACACCACAGAAATATAAATATATCGATGTCATACACAAAAATTATAAAACTCACGCCATAATTAAATCGGTCGTAACGTATGTAACAAAATCAAGATAATATTACGTGCTGCCTCAAGTTTGTTTACTGATGTTCTGTAAAGTACCTTTACACTACCTATATAATACACTTAATCATCTTACAGACATCCCAGGGAAATGCATCGTTTAGTTCACTGACTGCACGAACAGATAGGTACAGTATTTACCTTAATTATCAGAGGCAATACCTACTGTTGAGGATACAGACAATAGAACTTGTCTGCACTGAAGTTCCGCACTCAATTCGTCTTTCCCATTCGCTTTAAAACCTTGCCTGCAACTTTCATGTCGAAAAAAAAACCTGCAGTACTTCCCCTCCTTTAAAGGAAAAAAGAACGTGAGTTGAGGAGCTTCACAGAATCAATTGACTTAGCAGAAAATGTTATTCCATCAACTCAATTACCCCAAAAAGAAAAAAGTTCTATAATTTATTTGTTTGTGACAATGTTTAAAGACATTTCATTGTCCCGTCTATGTGTTTGTTTGTTTGCTTGCTTTGCTGAAACACATAAGCACCAATGTTCTGCAAAAACAGTACCAAAATACATTGAAGCAGTGCATGGAATACGCAAAGTTGAGTTGAAGTAGCTCCCTTTATTACACTATCCGGCCTATGGCCAAGTTCCGAGCAGCTCGGAGTTGGCAGCTTTAGGCTGGGAGGCTGGCTGACGTCATTGCAGATGTCCTAGAGCGAGCTGTACGCATGCGCCGAGGTAGTATCGCGCGAAGGGTGACGAAGGGGACGGTCCACGTGCACAACGGCATAACCGAGGCTTTACGCTCCTCCGAGTGCTGTCACGTAAACCACCGGAACGATAGTTGTAGAGTTGCAGTTAATTCATTTGATCAACCACTGCCAGGGTTTCTGTAAAATTATAACCCTGATTCCGCTGATTAATATGTCGAGGTGGTCATGTAACAACAAGTGGTCATTGTGTTTCTAAAATGTTGAAAATAGCATTACGTCATGGTTTGTAAGCTGGGCTTTATAAATGTTGTAAAATAAGTAACGTGTGTTTGGCATTGTATTCATTATGAATGATAAATGCATTGTACTTGTATAACGTCCATTCCGTGGTATGCACATTGTCCTCTGGATGGCAATATTCATAGCAGGCATTCATTGAATATGTATAATGCTAACAATGATAAATATGTTGACTATATCTAGTCTATATCTTGACAATTGAACTAAATTTCAGTTATTATACGAGAAACGAAGTGTGCAGAATTAAAATTAATTACATGTAACACGTAACGCAGAGATATCTTTCATTTTAAAGGCTGTGAATAACTTTACACGTTACCAACATAGGTCGATAGCAGTGAAACACGAGAACAAGACGCAATAGGAAATATAAATTCATTTTCTTTTCTTTTACTTATTGTCGCATTTTAAACATTTGGATATGCACCATGCACCTTACAGTTGTTCAAAAATCTTGTCAGAAATATTTATAGCTTCAATGTATTAAATGTTTAATTGTACAATACGTAGGCCTATATCACAAGCATCATTTTAGATGAACGTTAATTTAATGTACTAGTACAAAACTTCTCAGTGTATGTAAGTTATTGCTTCGTGCATTAATAAACTGTCACATATTATGCATACTCTTTGCGACCCCCTGTGGCAGTGTAACAGCCGCACGATAAACTGCCTGTTAAACATATATTCAACTGCATTGCTCCACTAATCACCTTATTCGGGTTATGCTGCCGTTTGTCCTGGGCATCGTGGAGTAGGCTCCAAGCTAACCCCTTGTACCTGTTAAGCACTTGGAGGATGGAAGTATGGATGAATGAACTTCACCGCAGAATTATTACATTGTGAAGGACTATAGCTATGTACTAAAAGAAGAGTGTACGCGATTATAGTGATAACCGAGTTTTTCACCTTCACCAGTTTAGTATTAGGTAAAATGTTATTGAACTGTATTAATTCACAATCGATATCGCACTCATTAGTAGGGATACGACTGTTTTATTATGAAGTACTATTTACGCAATTAACCTTCGACTCATTAATATGAATTCAATATTAAGCCTTCAAAATTTCATATGCACATCATTTATGATTGTCGACTTCAAAATTAAGTGAATTGTAGAGAATTTTTTGTATGTACGATAAATGCAACATCGACAAATCAGTTTTGGATCGTTTGTTCATAGCGACACCTTGTGGTCAAATGAGTAAATGTAAGTCAAATGTAAGCCTTATAACTCATGACTGCTTTGACATGGAATTGATTTATACCTCTGCTGTACTGAAGGATTACTGTATGGTCTGTTGTCCGTCTTCCAACTGCTTATTCAGTAGAGGGTTGTGTGGAGTGGGAACAACCTGGAAGGAATGCAAGTTGATTCATACAGCTTACAATTTCATACAAACCTAGTTACCCAATTATAGTATATCTTTATAACCCTTGATAAATGGTATTGGACTGAATCAACGCAGACGTAAAGGACACCTTTCTGGAATTTGAAGGTTTTGGCTGCATTTTTTTTCAACCACTCCTTTTTTACTTTGATGATTACTTGCAACACCATAAAGTAACTTCAATGCTGGAAACCGAAAAACACATTAACAAGTAATAGCATTTACACTTAATTCAGTTTAGTCAATTATTTTCTTAACTAGCCGGGCTATACTCTCAAATCTGTTTTATATAATTGAATTATATGAATCCTGGCCTTAAATATTTTATAGATATAGGCAAGTAGATCGCGAGTGCAAGCGGCCGAAATGAGCTTTCTCCGCAGGGTGGCTGGGCTCTCCCTTAGAGATAGGGTGAGGAGCTCAGTCATTCGGGAGAGACTCAGAGTAGAGTTGCTGCTCCTCCGCATTGAGAGGAGCCAGATGAGGTGGCTCGGGCATCTGCTTAGGATGCCTCCTGGACGCCTCCCTGGTGAGGTGTTCCGGGCATGTCCCACTGGGAGGAGGCCCCGGGGAAGACCCAGGACACGCTGGAGGGACTATGTCTCTCGGCTGGCCTGGGAACGCCTCGGGATTCCCCCAGAGGAGCTGGAGGAAGTGGCTGGGGAGAGGGAAGTCTGGGTTTCCCTGCTGAGGCTACTGCCCCCGTGACCCGACCTCGGATAAGCGGAAGTTAATGGATGGATGGATGGAGGCAAGTAAGAATGGTCAAATGATCGAGCACCTGTGAAGCAGTGCTACATACACTTTATTTGTAAAAGCAATAAAGATTTTTTTTAAAAGATCACAAGATTATTTATTCTGATCTCTGTAAATGTTTCAGAAAACACAGGCTAATAAATGTACAATAATAACAAAACAGATACAATATAAAAAAAATTAAGAATAAAACTTGTATTGCCTTTTCTACTGTCAAGCACCAATATCATAACCTGGATTACTCACATGCAATAAACCATGATAAGTACATCGTGCCACTCCTTTACCACCCACTTAACAAAGTACAGTATGTGGCCAGAGGTCAAAAACATCTATCGCACTGCATTTGGTATTTTGCCCAACAAGTAGAGCATTGTGCTAACGACATACTGGTTATGAGTTCAAATCCCAGGGAGCACGCATAAATTGTAACCCTTCCTTCTACTGTAAGTCACTTTCGATAAAAGCATCAGATAGATGAGTAAATATGAATAGAATTTAACAAGCAGATGAATTTGTGAGACAGAGATGATGATACGGTTTGGGGTTTTCCAGGAATCCCAGGGAGGCTTAACAAAACAACTATGCTTCAGCTGCTCAGGAAATAGATTTCCTCACTTCAGTCAGCTATGACGTTGTGGGATTTACAGAAGTTAACAGTTCTATTTTAGCCCATATTGTTATTTTTAATAGGCAATTCAAAGTCTTAAAAGATATTAAACTGAGATACACTTTTGTCTCTGTACATCATTTTCATTAGGATGGATGCAATTTATGTGTTTGACATTAAATATATCTAATTATTACTAACAAAATACGAATTGGTTTAAAATTCATGATTTTAAAGTTAATGATTAATGATACAAGAGGTAGACCATGTAACAGAAATACCACATGGAAAAGGACTTTAACTTTTGTAACCTTTTAAACACAGTTACAAAGGGGATTAATGTTAGGTTAAAAATCAACTGGCAGTATGTGTCAGCTGTAAAAAGATCTCACAATCATTACTTTGGCATGTGAGATTTTACCCCAGCATGAGATAGCTAACAGTTTCGAAGAAGCCAAGGATTCAGTGCATGAATTTCAGGTACTTTAGCTATAGGAATGGCAAAATCATTTAAGGTGTCAAGGGAAACAGTCTGAACAGCACATGTTATATTTGTTAGAAAAGGTGGGCTGTGACTGTTGTTGGAGTCAAAAGGTAAATATTTGCTGACTTTTTCAACAGGTGCTGAAACTGCTCTTAGCACAGAACTTTCACAGCAAGTCACAGTGACAGCTCTCCCAATATTTGTCTTATAGTTAAGAAAAAAAGCATCTTACTTCTACAAATGTGTCATACAGAAAACTACACATAGAATATAAATCAGGATATAGATTTAACCTAAATTTAACCAAAACTAAATTATAAGTACTTTAAATAGAATAAAAATGATATAATTCTTAATTCTAACGATAATTAGAAGTGACCTAATATGAGGAACTGCGTATAGATGTAAGTTTTACTATGATTATCTAGGAGTGCACTAGGTGTAATCCGGTATTATGTTCACTTCCATGTAATAAAAATACTGTAGTGATATCGCAGAGTGCTTGTAAAAGTTAATGATTCAGTGCCAGCAAGTATATAAAAACGACTCCCGTACTTGTAGGTTTCTAAGTTTAATCCATATAGTAAGACCCACTCAATATACATAATTCCAGGTAGGATCAAATTTTTGTATCGTTGCATGGAACTGAAGGGGTTGCAATTTTGTATGTGAAATTTCATGTCATAAAGATGTTATGTTGTCAAGAACATGATGAAATGTCTAAAACCTTACTTAATGTTGGATGGTATGTTACTATAATTACAGTGTGATGTTTTAGTTTGTTTTAGATCAATGGGTTAAAAATTCGACATGAACTTGAAGCTGTTTTAGATCAACAATTAAATGACCTCAGTCCTTCTATTATGTTGAATTTAATTGAGCAATATTTTTTTGCACCAAAGTTAAAGACTTACAGCTTGTGTAAAGCTACTTATCAGTAAAGTGTCTGTAACTCAGAGGTGTAAAGTAACAAAGTATGCTACAAATATTGTTACTGTACTTAAGTAGGTGAGTTTTCTTCCCAGTTTGTACTTCACTTGAGTAGGCCTTTTTGCAACTTTTACTTTAACTTGGCTACATTTCAGAGCCAAATATTAACTTTTTACTCAGATACATTTTATGCAACTAATGTGATGGAATGCCATAATACTCAAAATTAATTATATAAATATATATCTATATATAAATAAATTAATAAATTAATATTTCAATAATTAATGTAATCTGTCCTTTTATTTTTAAATAATTCAGTAAAACGTATTATATTGCGTAATATTCTATGTATATTTTTTTAATTGTATTTTGTAGATATATTGTGATTTTGTTAAAAGCATTATTTTACATGATGCAAATGTGATTAAATATTTCAAACTATATCTCACAAAGTTCAATTATTGCATCGGTCATGATCATCATCATTATTATTATTATTATTATTA